TTTTTTTTTTTTTTTTTTTTTTTTTTTTTTTTTTTTTTTCCCGTAAAATATCCGTGGTGCTACTGTGCAGCGTGTCTATGTTTTTGCACGATACAAGTAAGTTGTACCTTTGAGCCGAGCACAAGGCTTGTAAGCACTACCTTCCCTCCTCCATGCTCACACACCGCTTGCAACAGCATCAGGTTTACATGTAGCAATGCGCGCACCTTTTCCAAGAACAGAACGTCACAGGGCCAAAAAGCTCCCCTTCAGAGTCGGCTGCAGAGAGAGGGCAAAAGCCTGGGAAGAGGATTTTCACCCCCGCCTTCTCTCTCTCTCTCTTTGCCCCATGCTGTCGTTGCTGCAGCGATGCATCACGCGTCACCCCCTACAGCCCTTATCTCTCTATTCCGCGTGCAGTGTTGGATGCATCTGCCTATAGTATACATGGTACAACACATAGGTGTACACCGTCTCTCTCTCTCTCTCTATTCGTAGGTGTACTTACCTGTCTGTCTGTATATTACTTCTCTCGGTTTTTTCCCTCCCCTCCAGCTACACCCACCCGCTTACAAATTGTACGTACATACATATAACATTTGTGTGGTGCTCTCTATCTTTTCTCTCCTTACTACTATGGATGCACTTCTGTCTCCGAGCTTTTTTCCTATACCCTCCCTCTCTCCTTCATTCACTCGTCTCGGGCGCATTTTTACCGTCGAGCGACTCTCGTGTATGCCAGTTTTTTTTTTTTCCTATACGCGATTATACACACACGTGCATTTATTTTTTAATTGTATAGTTCTCGTCACCCAAATGGTACTGGTATAGGGGTATAGTCCTGGTTGGGCAAACACTGCGTGTGTATATATATATATTCCCTCCTGGGGCGCAGTAAACGTGTCACGAAAAAAAAAAAAAAAATGATGCCCCGAGGTGTACAGGAAAATGATGTTTCAACGCATGGCAACGGGACGAAGAGGAGCGCCCACCAACACCACACAAAAGCCCGATTCGCTCCTATATCGATCGAATTGTAACGACGATTGAAACGTGTTTCTCTCTCTTTTTGCCGATGGACGCCCCCCCCCCCCCAACGTACGGTACGCGGATATAATATAGCGTTTTCGTACGTCCAAGCTGTGCGTGGGGGATGTATTATGGGATCTATCGATCGCGCGTTGAATTTTTTACGCGCCCGCAAGAGGTGACCTACATGCTCGTGTCCATGTAGTGATGATTAATGAATTTTCGCATCAATCATGTTGTGTCCATATTGTATATGTATGTACTTCTTTTGTTCGATACAGCGTCGATTACACACGAGAAGTATATTATTGCACAAAAGTGTCATCGAAGAATCAACAAGCCAAAAGAAAGAAAAGGAAAAAAAAAAGGAAGAAATTTACCACCTATAGCGCGTACCTACACTTTTATAAGTAAAATAAACCCGGGACCCAACTAATCTGTAGCTGTACATAAACACGTGTCCAAAGCCTTTTCTCTCTTTTTTTGTTCTCGCGATGCGAGCAAGACGCAGTATAAGCCCCGTGAGGTGCGAGTTTTGCGAGTTTGAAAAAAAAAAAAAAAAAAGGAACGTGTGTTGACTCTCTTGACCCCACGCATGTTCGTACACAACGTAATATCTCTATCCATTATTTATTGAAAGGTCGATTCACGATTTTCATCCGTATAAGTATAGAGTGGCCGTCCGACCCACACGCGGATGATACTACTAAATGGACAAGTGATATGTAATTACGATCTGATTTGTTTTTATACACGCCCACGCGAGGAGGAGAAGTCAATTATTGCTCGGATGATGACCATTGCCTCCTCTTCTTCGCACTGCTGAAAATATCAGAGCCAACTTTTTTACGTCGCTCGGAGATAAAGTATATATATACAATGTTATAGGCTGTAGAGGAGGAGGAGGAAGGGGAACAAAAAAAAAGGAATCACGCAATCTTGCGTCACCGTAAATGTGTGTTTCGTTGCTACTTTTTTCCTTTTTCCTTTTCTCCTTCACACGCGGAAATCAATGGTACGCATATGCTAATCGGCACGTCGACATAACGCACACCTGCGGGCGTGGGCTTATACGCTAAATATATATACCCGAGTATATACCTATATACATGAAAAAGCTTAGCTGCGTCATCTTCATCGGCGCAATGTATCATATCATAGTAGACAGGTGTACATATGTTACGATGTATATATACATTACACGCGGGGAAGAAAATGAAAATACACCACGTATACTGCGTGCAGCAGCTTCCGACGCGTTTTTTTTAACGTGTCGATGTATATGTAATGCGCTTTGGATCTTTTTTTTTTCCTCTTTTTGTTTTTTCTGAATACTCACACTATTTCCTGCTGCTTCTTCCTTTTGCTTTGATCTGCACTTTTACAAGCCTCCACAGCTTACGTGTGTGCGCGCGTGTGTGTGTGTGTGTATGATGTAACTGATGCCTCTTCTTCTTTTTCACTTTGTTATGTATACATAAGTGAGGTGGTGGATGCTGCTACGGCCATGTGTACACCCCACCCTCTACCCCCCCCCCCCCGAGTGTTTGTACGCACATAACGTTCCCTCTCTCACGCGTGAACATACTTATTTTTTTTTCTTTTTCTTCCTTGCAAACTCACTCGCACACATATACACATGTACCCTATATGGCTGTCATACGCGCTTTTGCGCAACACAAACATAGATGTATACATACAGAGGATAAGAGATAAGAGTTTTTACGATATCACAGCACGCGTACGCAGTAGTAGTAGTAGAAAAGGTGACTATATACACTACATATATATGTAATATATGTTTCTCGCGCCCCCGTGTGCGTATATTTTATTATTCATCATCCTTCGAAGTCATCATCGTATGAAAAAAAAAAAAAATAGAGTTGTTTTACCAAACATTTAATTATTTTTTTCTCATCATCGTACCAGCTAATACCTTCTATGTATAATTTTGCGAAATAACCAACAACGTGTCGTTCGTTCAACAGGTGTCCGAGCCAATGGATCCAGAAGATCGGAAGGTCTATTGGAGGCGGGCGCCGGGGGAGCCAGACCCGGCATCAACAACAGCAAAGCTCCGAGCCCATTGGGTCTCGAGGTCCGACCGCGCGGCGAACTCGTGCTGCACCGCAAGAGCATCAAGCTCGTTTGCACGGGCTCGGCGAGCCAAGGGGCCAACGTCACTTGGCTGTACAACGGCCGGGCTTGCGAGCCCAACCACAACCACTGCAACGGACAGTTCCTACGCAAGGGCGCGCTTCGCGTCAAGGTATACAACTCCTTATTGTATAATATATATATATATATATTTATATAATCTAAAGGGGGGTTGGGGTGAGAAAGAGAACTGGGGAATTATCCCCGGGATATACAATATGTGATGATTCACGAAAACGTGGGATTATTATTTGCTCTATCTCGCGGCCAACTGTGTTTCCTGGTTCCCTTTGGTTTTTACCAATGACTTGCAATTAGCCAGCTGGTGAACGATTGTCCGTCGAGAGACGCGTGACTCTTATTTTTTTTTTTTTTTTTTTTTTTCTCTCTTTCACATAATTATAATATTAATTAATTATAATGTCCGTGTGTGTGTAAAAGTACGGTTTCGCTTGGGCAGATCGCGAGACCGATACGCGCTTTCTAAACAAAGTGAAAATTTATACTTACCTGCACGTGTAAGCGTATAGTTTCTCGGAGCAGCGTGTATCAAGGAGGAGAAGAAGAACCAAGGAGAGATCAAGTACAGCAGATAAACCGCTCTTGTCTATCGGCACTTCATCGCTCTCTCCCCTTTCTTTCGAGCCACCAAACGATCGTCGTCGGTTAAACAACTTGTTTTTTTTTTTTTTTTATTGTATGTGTTCGTTGAAGAAGAAAATAAAATAAAAAATAAAAAAGAAGACGATTTTGTATTTGGAGGAAAAAGGAAAACAGCAAAGCCAAAAAAAACCCCCTACACCGGTGTGTATAGTCCTGCCCAACAAATTACATTTCAATTCGAGCATCCATGCACAATATGTAATATGGGTTACACACGTACATACATCTCTCTCTCTCTCTCTCTCTCTCTCTCTCTGTCTCTCGTTGCGGCGCGATTTGTGTATTTATTACTTCCTGGCTGTAAAATATCACGAGCTGAAAAGCGAGTCTATCCGCATCCTCCGTAGTATAGGTACATTGGTGGATACACACGCGTGTGTGTGTGTGTGTGTGTGTGTGTGTGTGTGTGTATATAGTAAACCGAGCCGTATAGTGTACCGTTAGCCATCCCGCGGTGTGCTGCGATTAACGATACAACTTCCCTTCTCTCTCTCTCTCTCTCTCTCTCTCTCTCTCCGTCCTCTGTTTCCACCACTGTGATAATTTTGTTGAAAAAAAAAAAAAAGAAAAGAATGTCAAAACAGGCCTTTTTTTCTATTTTAAGGCACGACTGCTTCACACAAGGGCCTTGGTATTGTCACCAGAGCAAAAAGTGTAACTATACCACTGGTGAAGAAAAATTTTTACTTTAAAAATAATACTAATCAGTTTCTTTTCTTTTTTTTGCGTGTAAACTTGTAAGTGGATACTCGAGGTCTATGAATTGTCGGGGGAAAAACTCGTGCTGTACCTAATTTATATTTTTTATATTTTTATGCGTGGTCGAGGAAAGTTTGTCGATCCTATATTGTTCTACGTTTTTGTTGTACACGTTTGTACATGTGGTTATACTTTTCACTCTGGTGGACAAATGTCTTGGATGCATGAATTTTGCCACTCTTGTATTCGATCACTTTCGCTACCCGACTAATTGCTTTTGTTTTTTTTTTTCGTATTGCAGAAAAAGAGCGGCGGCAACCCGAGGCAAAACGAGTATCGGTGCCTGGTGAACACGTCCGACGGAGCACGCCTAAGATCGGCACCGACCAACATACTCTATGCCGGTCAGTATACATGAACACATAATATGTGATGCCTTTGGAGATGGAGAGGTGTTACATCCCAGCTCTAACTGGACTTTTTTTCTTTCTTTCTTCCTCTCCTTCTTCGTCTTCCATCGCACAGAACTGTCCGATGCGTTCGAGGAATCGCCGGAAGATCTCGTGGTGAGGCAGGGAGAGGTGGCGAGGTTCTCGTGCTTCATCGATAGCGTGCCGTTTCCACCAAACATCACCTGGCTGCGCGATGGAAACGTTCTGCCGGACGATAAAACAAAGTATACGCTCTCTCTACTTGTATTGATGATTCCTTTAAAATTTATGCCCATGGATGTCTTACACACGGCGATTTTTTTGTTGTTTGTCCCGCAGATATGTATTTTTACCACCGGGTGTGCTCTACATAAATGCAACCAATGCCTCTGATGCTGGTTCATACAGGTGAAAAATCCTATCCTTGAGACTTTCCATCGAACGAACCAGGAATTTCTTAACGCATCGTAATAACGTAATTTTCAGATGCGTAGCAGCCAATGAGTATGTTAATGTAACGCAGAAGAGTAAAGAGGCTAAATTGACTGTCGTCGTACCGGGGCAGGAGACCGGGGATAGCAGTCCGGTCTCGCTGTATCCGCAAGCTTCTTACAGCCACGCTCCGCTGAACGGGACGAATCTTCGGCTCGCGTGTGCAGCTTCCGGCTATCCGAGCCCCACCGTCTTCTGGACTTTTGTTCCTCGGGGCTCAGGTACACGATTTTCTGATGCTTATTAGAGATTATCTGGTTTTCTTTTTTCCTCAAATTAAATTTATTTATTAAATATAATTGGTTACAGAAAGCAAATTGAGTCCACGCAAAGCATTTCGTCGTTGGAGTACTGGCTTGGCTGTGCTTGAATTGAATAATCTTAATGCTTTGCACACGGGTCTTTATGTATGTTCCACTAAAGGATCTGCTAACGAATTTCTCGTACAGGTGAGTGTGCAAATTTTTTTTTTTTTTTTTTTTTTACATATTACGTATTTTCTATGTGGATTTTTGTCAATGGCGGTATTTTTGTTCAACAGAATGTTACTGTGCAAGTACTTATTCCTCCGACGTTTATTAAGAAGCCGACGAATCAGGTGTGTCCCAACGGTAGGACTGCGAGATTCGAGTGCCAAGCTCAGGGCACACCTACGCCGGATATATACTGGCTGAGGAACGCGGAGAACATAACTATTAATGGTAAGGAAGCCACAAAAGGCGGCACCTCTTCAAGCTTTGTAATCCAATTTTTACCCTATGAGACGAGGCTTAGCACTTGAATTTTTAAAATAATGACACACCTAGTTACATAATTTGGTTCTATTAAATGTGACTGGAGGTATTTAACTTATTAAGGCGTCGACAATTTTTATTCAAAATTTTGAAATTTCAGGACGTCGGACTGTCTACGTTAAGGAGTTCAACAAACTGGAGCTGGCCATATCGGCCACTGTTCCAACGGACTCTGGGATCTATCAGTGCGTCGCGGTGAACGCCGCTGGTGAGATTTGGGCCGCTGGTCGGCTCCAAGTAAACGCGTCTCGCGACAGTCCAGCCGCGCCCACGTCGCTCAAGTGTGAAGCCCGCTCGCCCGTGAAAATGTTCATATCTTGGGAGCCGCCAAAACTCTTGCCGTCTACCAACATCACTGCCTATACCGTTCACTATAGGCCAGTTGGTGAGTTTATTAGGACTTCAAAGTCTCGAGCATTTAAACGCCTTTATTCGGGTATGTTTTTTTATTGTTTCTCGAATTTTCAATTGCAGAAGAGGGTAAGGAAGAGGTCTCGCCTCCCGAACCGGGGAATTCAACGTCGGTCGAAGTTACGAAACTTTTAGAGCCGTTTACAAATTATACTTTTTACGTGCGCTTGTGGAATAATCATGGTGCAAGTGATCAATCAGCTACTATAACTTGTTCAACTGATGAAAGTGGTATGCCTATAATGCATTTTTTTTTGTTCATCCGTAAGTACAGGTGGTGCAGTTGATTAAAAATAAAATTTTTTTTTTTACAGTTCCAAATGCTGCTCCAAAGATTTCCGTAAATGTGATTAATAGTACAAAGCTAAACTTGATGTGGAAACCTTTAACGAAAAAAGAAGCTCAAGGAATTGTGACTGAATACAAACTCGAGTGGCGATTGTTTCAAGATCCATTGGTGAACATAAAATCTTTGCCAACTGACGTCGAGCAGTACGTTCTTACGGGTTTAACGCCTGGCAAACAGTACGATGTACGTATCCTGGCAAGGACAAAAGAGGGCTGGCCAAATATCAGCGAGGCTCAGTTGGGATGGCTAACAGTTATGATGCCGTCGTCGAATGATCTGTCCCAAATTCAAATTTCAATCCTCAACTCTACCAGTGTCAAAGCTAAATGGAACATTAAACCAAATTCGGTGCTTCAATTTACTTCTTGCAAAATTATTTGTAAAAGTGAGGATGGGGCTACAGTTGCTTCAGTTAATTTAACTCAAGATTCTACGGAATACATATTTTCTAATCTTGGTAGTTATTGATATTTTATTTCTCAAGTACATGATTTGTATTAAAATTACAATTCATTAAAAATTGTCATTTCAGAGCCAAACGTTTATAGTTTTGAATCGTGTGCGCTTCACCGTGAAGAAACACTGCATTGCACCACAAAAAACGTGGATTTAAAAAAGATTTCAAGTAAGTCTATGCAACATGGTTCACAGGATCTTTTACTTATGGATTCTTATAATTTCAGTAAGCAACGTACCAACAGCATTAGAGGCTGTTCCTCTGTCGTCAAATTCTATTAGCTTGACGTGGATCTCAAGAAAATCTGCTGAATCAAATTCATTTGAAGTTTGTTATCATCAAGTTCTTTTGTCAAACAAAACTTTTACTTGCATTCCTGTGTAAGCATGAATATTTTTTATACGTCTCGAAATTTATTAAAGAATCATTATCATTGAAACCATTTTTTATCGATGTACAGGAATTCAACGAAAATCATCATCAGTAATCTCAAGCCATTCATGCTTTATCAATTTAAAGTTAGATCATTGGATGGAAGCACTGATGACAATTCCTTTAGTGAGCCCGTTGAATGTTACACGAATGAAGACGGTAACATGATATTTTTTTTTTTTCCGACATTCAAGAAGCAATTATTTTTTTCAAAAATAACCAATCGTGAATTAAAATATAGTTCCAGGAAAAGTGAAAAACATCGAATTTTCTAAAGCAAATGACACAGTGAGCCTCGTTTGGAAGGAGCCTAGTGATATGAACGGAATCATTCAGAACTATTTCGTGGCCTACTCATCAGACAGTTTGGAGCCTAGATCAGCTTGGAAAAATATTACCGTATTTGGTAACAGAACATCCACGAATCTGTCAGGCCTGGTACCTGGAAAACAATACTTTGTAGTCATCCAAGCAGCAACCAAAGCTGGTTCTGGCAATCCTACAGAACCGCTCGTCATTCTAATTAAGGAGAGTTCATCTGAAGTTCAGAGTTCGTTGGACAAAGAAAAGTCACTTTGGACTCCGGCTGAACCAAAATTGAAAGGTAATCGTGTCCTCCAATTATAAAAAATTTTACACTGCAATTATCTTGCCCAAAAATTGTCTTGCAACTCTTGTGATTATCATAATTTCAGGTATCGTTCTGGGTTCGTGTATCGGTGCGATTTGCATAATTGCATGCATAATCTATGTGCTCCACAAAAGAAAGCAGAGTCGGCTGCAATCGCTCCATGAAAGTGCACAGCCCCTGAAGACCCGCGTGCTGGAACATAACGGCAATGGCAATTGCTACATTGATCGTTCCCCCGCTCCTAACTGCCATACTGGTGGACTGAACGACTTTGAGCTATCCGTGCCCTACCCTTCAATGTCCAACAATCCGACGTGCGATTCTAAGGTAAAGACCTTTTTTTAACAAACGATACATTTTTCAAAAAATGTTCAACTGTTTCAAATGTTGCAGGGTGCATTAGTCAACGGCTTGATCGAATCCTGTGCTAAAGAACCACTATTGGCTCCCTGGGAAGTCAATGGATTTAGAAAAGATCTTCGTATCACGGAAAATCCACAGGTAAAAATGCTTGTCACTGAAAGCCTTATTTTCACAAAGAAATTGACACATCTTATTTAAATTGATGCACGTTTCTAATTCCTAGTACAAACCACGAGAAAACGAAGATTCGAAAAAGTCAGCTCAGTCAGACCACGACGAACTTCCAGAGCCGAACAGTATGCAACTGACAAACCTCGACTACGATCTGGGTGGCAGTGATGAAAGCATGAACAACAATATGTGCCGTCGGCCGGTGACTGACGGAACACATGAAGCACTGCCTCGAAAAGCTGCTCCTAAAATCGTTCCAGTGCTCGAGCCTAATGGTTGAGGCTTGTGAAGCACAGCGGCATCAAAGTTCCTCACTACAGGAGAGAGAGACAACCCCCCCCCCCCACCGATACTTATGGGCCACACTGGAGGAAGTTTACTTTGCCGTACAGACTGTCTCCAGTCGACAACTATCCTATTGTAGAATAGAAGAAAGAAGATGTGAACAAAGTGACTTTGTTGCCCATGACAGACACACACGCATGAACTGAGAAGTAATTTAAGTGACGAGAAGTAAAGTAAGTGCATCGTTGTGAAGTCCTTTTTATCAAAGTCGCGTAATATCGTGTCGGTGTTTCGATTTTTTCAAGTGTTGGTTTGTTGTTTGCAGTTATATCGCACAATATTTTTATAATTGTCAAATGTCCTCTATGGAAAAAAAAAAAATTTCAAATAGCAATGAATTGGAAATTTGCTAGATTTCCAACAGTTAAGGAAACTGATTTATCATAAAAAATAATCCTCAACTGTTGGCATTTACTAATTGGTACGAATAAACTGCAGCAGAAATACACATTTTGATAAATCAGGGCTCTTTCATAATCGCTCAGCACAGACGAACAAAAAGGCAAACAATAGAGTGAAATCGTTTCCTACTTGACACCGATTAATTATAGTCATTCCACAAGTTCCGGCCCACTTTTACTTATTGACGATGAGAATCTCTTTTTTTACATACACACTTTTATATGCGTATATTTACATGGTGACTGATTTTTCTACTGCGCGTTTTATACAGACTTACTATACTGGCAATTAAACAAAAACATAACTTCCAGTTCTCCAACATACTCCATTAACAATTAGATCTGATTGTACATAAAAATAGGTTGAAATAGGAAATAAACCTCTTTACCCATTGTATAGCAAGAATTAATAGATGACAAAATATAGATTTAATAAGTAGAAAAACGCAGGGATTACAGTATAAGCGTACAAACCTTACCCGGTGGTGACTCGAATCTTACTTTGACAGTAAAACTGTAGCATTTCGCAATCGTTATGTTATTTAAAATGCGAAAAAAGCAGCAGAAGAAATTTTTTTTTTTTTTTGCTATATTAAATATTTTCTATTTTTTATTTTCTTGGAATATATTGTTAAGGTGGTAGGTTATTATATTATACATTCGTTAGACGAATAGTAAACAACTTAGTTACGGTTTTTAGCTTTTTAACCATTACAATCATTATCATTTTTAAGTTCTTAGAGACTATATTTTTTATTGTTTGCGACCAAGACGCAATTTCATTTAATTTTACGATTTTTCGTGTAAAATCTTTTAACTGTAGATTTATGAATGTTTAACTTATTCGATGCAAGAATTTATGTAAGGTTTATCATAATGATGTTTTTAAGTGTGATGCGCGAGAGTTTCACTACCGCTCTTTTTTTTATTATTGTTTTAATCAAAGCATTTCGCCAATTAAGCTGACTGACGTTAGAAATAATCCTCTCAGAAATACAAAACTAAGATGCGAATGAATGACGGAGAGATAATTTCAAACGAGCATTTATATACATTTTCACGTTTATATACTGAAACTTGGTGCATGTTACCATGACAGAATGAGGAAAAAAATATATATATAACCCAATGCAGTACCTGAAGTTGTATTGTTTAGAGTGAGACATAGGTTTGTCAGTGTTATTATTGTACCTCCATTTACTTGTTGTATTTATTGCTTCACACATTTAGTAATATGATCTGTACAGGTGCATCGGGACAGTTTTCTCATGCAGGTATAATCTTACAAAAACATTTTTTCTGTTGAAAATTTTTTTTTTTTTTTTTTCAAGTAGATCGTCCTGAAGACATAGTTATACTTAAAGTCATACGAGTCATTAGAAACTATCCTAATTAATGCAAAGGATTTATCAAGTAAATAAAAAACTATGTAATTTAAGTTACAAATAATATCTGTAAGATAAAGCTTTTGTTTCGTAAAAAAAAAAAAAAAAAAAAATCCTCCATCGAAAGGAATAAAAAGAAAATTAACATTCGAATTTATAAAAACGCGTATTAAAAGTGCTGTTTTTAAGCGAATATACCTATACTATTTAAATCTTAACCGGAAGGAAGCGAGCATCGCACTGATAATACAATTCGTGGAATACATGAACGGTTAAAAGGAAAAAAAAAAAAAAACGTTGTATTCAGCACTTGGTTCAAGATGTCCCTTGTTAAAGCTACATTTTTTGCAATCCTTATTTTAATTTTCTAATAATAATATTAAACGATCAAATCCAAATGAATTTTCTATTTCTGTTGAAATATCCAGTACACCGATTGACTAGATTATGGTAGCCAAATACTTGTAGTAATAGTAATAACACAAAGCTTTGAACATAAAATTGAAATATATATATATATGTATAAAGAAAAAATAATGAAAATCAAAAATAGGCATAGAGATTATAAACCTTTTTTTCTTCGTTTGGCCGTTTCCTTCTTTTGAACAATACGCTTTCTTAATGTACCTTTCAGTATTGACAACACTTCATTTATATTCCAAATAATACGTACATAAAACATATATACTTACATACGACATACACATAGTTTAAAATCCCAACCACGTTAATTTTTTTTTTTTTTTTTTTTGTTCTCTGTCAATCCTTTGTTATGAACAGTGGCTATTGCGGCACACTTTTATTAAAGTTGACAGCAATGTCATTCCTTTTTAGGTTTTTCAAACGCGCACCCTATTGTTACGTAACATGTAATGTTTCTAAAATTATATCGATGATACAGTGATTTTTCTTCCCACGACTTGTTTAATAAGTGTAAAAAATATAAGGGCGAAAAACTACTTGAGTGGGCTCAAATCGAGATCGGAAGAAAAACCGGTAGAAAGTTTATAATTGTAAAGACGTTTTTATCAAAATTTTGCATAAATGGTATTGTAAAAAAAAAAAAAAAATGCGAGAAAACAAAGTAACTTTGCAGCAGATTTTTCTTTGTTCATTGTAAATTTCGAATTCCTTTTTCGCGCTGTCAACTTGGAAGAAGAGAAAAATTAAAAATGTAGAAGAGTGACTTGTTCCATACTTTTTATGAAGAGTTGCGAAAAGCTTTCCTAAATATATATAGAAATTGCAGACAAATAATGAACAAGAATACAAAAATAATACAAAGGAACAAATGTGAAAAAGAAAACAAAATACAAAAAAAAGTAATGCGTACCTGAATCGTACAACCATAGACGTTTTTAAAACAAGGTGTCGTAAAATGACCGTTAACGAGCAAAGAAAGCCTTTCGAGACCGATTTTTCAAATGATTTCAGACAAACGAAGGAAAGGAAACTTAAATGTTGAAGGCTGTTGGCTTACTTGTAAAAAAAAACGTTGAATTTTCGAAACAAAATTATCAGACCCACTGTTTACTATACATGCCTGTACTCAGCAAGAAAAGTCTCATCTAAATTTTAATCACCGATCGAAACTATGATGAATAAAAACAAAAAATACATAAATTTTCACGGTGGTAACATTGCGTAACAATAACGTTGTTAGACGTAATACAAATTAGAACTTAAAATGTAAGTGTACAATTTAAAGCGGCTGAGGACTAATTGAGGAAAAAAAAAAAAAAACATCTACTTGTTGACGGACTTTTCTTTCCGAGCGTAAAATTATATAGATGTACGAAAGGGGAGGCAGAAGGCAAGCGTTTTGCGATCCGATACACATTTATATATAAATATATAAAACGCATAATTATAAAGTTTCTAGTTCTCGCTAAGCACATGTAGAATAGGCGCGCGATACGAATTATATTGAATAAAAAAAAAAAAAAGAAATGGCCGAGTGCGTGCTGATTGGCATTCAATGCGTATATCTTTGTATATTTGCTATTGATATATTCACATATGAGTATGAACGTTGAAACATTGTACTGTATTCTATTGAAAAAAAAAAAAAAAAAAAAAAAAAGAGAGAGAGGAAAGAAAAGTTAATACTATACTATTCACGGAACAGAGAGGAAAAAAAAAGAAAACGTCAAGTACAAAGAAATATAATCATAGGACGACGACCATTTGTACATTAATAATTAGAAAAGCGCGCCAAGGGTCGTGACTGACAACGTGGCGTCGACACTTCGCTCACGCATGTTTTTTTTTGTAAATATCTATTATTGTATCGTAAAAGATCCTTCCCCTATTAAAGTTTTCCATTTTGTTTATCGAGTTTTGAAATGTTGGCGCGAATCGTCGATGCCACCGTCCGAGTTGCCACCCTCTCACGCCCCCCCTTTTTTTTCTTTGCATTGTAAGTTACCCTGTTACACATTATTTGTTATCAAAGTTGCTTCGACGGACGATTTCTGTTTATCGTCATTATTCCAGTATTCAAGCATTTTAACCGATAAAGTTAGGTATATACGTGTACCGTAGACTTTTTCCCGTCATTACTCAATACCAATTCGATCGATGTAAAATTTGCACTGGTCCCTTCGACAAATACCCTATATATATTTACAGATAAGCTCGTATAGTTTTCATTGGGGGATACTCGGATCTTTTGCAGGTTTATTTTTTTTATTTATTTTTTTTTAAATTGTTCACGTTAATATTTTATTGTCAAAGTTTATAACTTCATACCGAAGATATATCCATGTACACATACTTCGTAATGACGCGCATATAAATATATTCAAAGCATATATCAATAGATGACACAATTGATGAAATTACAATAGTTACCGTTCAATCCCAGTTTGTCCATATACAGAGTTATGATTCATACGAAACGATGAATTTATATATGTATTCGAAATAGATTATTTGTTGAAATTGGCACTAAACAGTATTCGCAACCATACACGGATTAGCCATTACGGTAGACGTACGTGTAAACGTAACATATTTATTTATTTCAATAAACGCATAGATACATAATACAATATCAGCAGGACGTATCATTGGTGTTCAGTAGGCTGTAGAGTAGAATAAACAAGAGAGAGTCGTAGTCGCAATTGTTGAAAATATAAACCATTCTCCCACGTCCGTACTGTTGAGAACTGAACGATTAAGATTTTTTTTTTTTTTTTTTTTTTTTCACGAGTAACCAGTCAATTTTTGCATCGATCGAAGTAATGAAATAACAACCGCTCAGACGTAGCGGCTCTAGTCGAACTTCCCCAATAGCACTTACTTGGGACCTCCGCCGAGGGTATACATACTACATTGTAACATTATATTATTTTCTTAATGATATTTACACAGGGATGAGCTTTTCCGTTTTTTTTTCTTGTTTTTTTTTTGTTTTTTTTTTTAGGACAAAATCTCGATTACTTAATGAACAACGTACGTATACTTAAACAATGAAGGAAGGAAAAAAGCGGAGAGGTGATTGATACAGATCTGAGAGTACCTATATAAACCTAAAGTGAAGGAAAAAATTAATAAACTTGGAAGTTCAAACTTACCTCATCTCTCTCGTGCGTGCGCTTTTTTTCCTCGAACAAAGTAATAAATTGCAGCGTGCGCTTGTTTTTTATTTGTGTAAGTAAAAAATGACATACACATAGTTTAAAATCCCAACCACGTTAATTTTTTTTTTTTTTTTTTTTTGTTCTCTGTCAATCCTTTGTTATGAACAGTGGCTATTGCGGCACACTTTTATTAAAGTTGACAGCAATGTCATTCCTTTTTAGGTTTTTCAAACGCGCACCCTANATCAATTAATTATATTTATCATTTATAATTCTATGGTAGGATATATCTCGCGTTACACAACATACACGAGCACTTATGGACATTTTCTTTTTTTTTATGTATAATTTATTTTACAATGTAAATTGTGGTTTTCTTTATATACTTATTCAGATGTGTATCTATATATTTTTTCTTACTGCAAAAGCATACGTTTCAAAGTTGACTTTAATTGAAAAGAAAAAAAAAAAACAAAACAAAACAAAAAATAAAATGTTATACTTACCCTTTCCTTATGACGAAGGTGCAGTAGCATATTATCCTTATCCTCCGTAAAAACCCTGTCCCTCGAACTGTACATAGACTACATATTACCTTAAAAATATATTTTAATATATTACATATGATTAATTACAAAAAAAAAAAAAAAAAAACTATAATAATCTTATTGTTTGAAGTATTCGGATAAAAGCGATTACACAAAATGTTTAAGAATATTGTTGACCCTTCGGAACCACAGCAACTTGTTGTAATGATGATGATTGAATAAAATTAAGGCAAGTGTATATAACTTTAAATCTTTGTCATTGACCTATTTTTATTATATCCTGTGCATAAAAAATCCTTTCGATCACGAAACAAGAAACACAATAATAATAACACAGATTGAAATTTTTGAAGAAAATTTATTGACCATTATGTGAAAGTAACAATATAACTCATCACTAAACTTGTGATGGATTTTATTTTTCAGCTACTTCATTTCAACGATTTACTTGTATACCGATTTAAAAAGTAGTAGTGTGACGCATTGCGGTAAAATTATCTAAACACAAACACCTTCTGTTCTACTGGACGTTAAGAACATTTTATTATTGATTTTATCACTATTTGTACTTGATTTATTATATTTCACGTCTAACGAATAATCCGTAGGTTATATGATAAATTAGTAAGCTGTTGTTTTAAATAAGAACTGAATTTTTTAATTCAAAGTGCTTCAATTCACTTTCGTTATAAAGTGTACGTTAAACGGTTTTAAAGGCCCTAAGTATACGTGTAGATTTTTACAAACTTGAGCGCTATTTAATTGCGTATAAAAAAAGCAAGTTGTACAGTGTAAGAAATTTTATCGCTACTCGCGTAAAACTATTATTCTATTTGGCATTTGGTAAGTATTCTAGACTTCATAGAAAACTCACGTTGTTCTTTTACATCTATACATATTCAAACTTAATAAAAATTATCTAAAAATATATATGTACGCGTTATTAAAAAATTGAGTTTAACTCAGATAACAAACAGTTGAAAAAGAAAAACTATCAATTGGATACTTCTAAACGAAATCTTCAAAATCGGAAAAAGTCGAACTTCTACTTTCGTATTGCTTGCAGCTATATTGAAATTTGTTCCAATAATATCGGAACCTGACTAGCGCTCTCTGAACTAAGTAGGTATTAAGTACATAAATTGCTATTAATTTCGTTTGTATCACATTTTGGTAGGCCCGTAATATCTTATTAATTAAAAGTAATAACATGACGCTTATCAAAGTGCGTCAGGCACAACGTGTAGCGCTTATCAATGCGTTCTGTAGTTTACTAAGGGTTTTGACTTTATGTCGTGTTGAATTATAGAGTCAAGGAATGAGGGAAGATCTTCATGGCTACGTAGTCTTCCAACACCTGAGGGACAAAAAAAAGAACCAAAAGTTAATGTACGCGTTAAAAAGACAAGCATTGGATGCAGTTCAAATTATTTACTTCTTTTAACGCTTCTTTGGTCAATTTTGGATAGCTGTAAGAAAAATCCGTTTTTTGAGATAACTTTCCTGGTTGCAAATACAAATGATGATTGTGCAAAAGTTCTTGGTCTATGTATGGAGAGAGAAAACTGTTTTCAATTCCATCTTTTTTACATGCTTCTGCCCAAGGTCCCATATGCTTGTCATTGCTTTCCTCAACAACTGCATTCATATCCATCTGAAAAGAACAATCCGTGAGTATTAATCTTAAAATGGTTATTCAGCACGAATGATCAGTTGGACAAACTTTTGCCAGCAAAGACAGCGCTGATCCGTAATAATCGTGATTTATGTTGAAAAGTTCGGATATAATAGCACTAATAGAGCCTTGAGTAGAATTGCCCTCATCAACAATATTATACGTTTGTCCAACGGTATCTTGTCGTGTTGTCACGTGCCACATGGCTCTAGCAACGTCTCTGACATGCACCGTGTTCATCCTCAGTTCGGGACCCCACAGTAACTTCATCATTTCACTCAAATGTTTATAAACAGCTCCAATAACCAGGTAAGGAGCTAAAACGCGATACCAATAAAAATAATAATTCAATATGTGCTTTGATATTAATCGAGTGTTACAATTCATGGTTAGTTTTTTTACCTAAGCCAGTCTTGTCACCAGGACCATACACAATGGGTAACCTGAGTATCGTGTAATTTAAATTGGAAACGTTTTTCAACTCGTTTTCCACCTGGAGTTTATATTTTGCCACGCATGTCCATGGTTTAGCTGTATCTTTTTCGCTCAGTGGCTTCTAGAAAAAAAAAAAAAAATCTAATCGTGAATAAGAGCACATTATTACTTACTTTTACACAAGTTGTGGAAAATGTTTTACCTCCTCAGTGGCACTAAAGTTACCAGAAGATAATTCAACGTAATGCTCAACACCCAATTTAGCAGCTTGATGAGCACAGTCCATGCTTAGTTTATAAATTCCTTCTCTGTAGATCGGATCCGCTTGTCCACTTTTGGTTTCGCCAGCACAATTGAATACATATTTGATCTGGTGATTGGTATTGAATGCCTTTTCACACGAAGCTACGACAAAAGAATGACTAATTAATCGAAATAGTTTGTGATTGAAATTTTAAAACAAGTATGTACACTTACTTGCATTTATAAGATTGGCACTTTGAAAGTCCACAATGGGGTTTTCAAAAATTTTTTGATGCCTGCTATTCAGCCAAGCAGTTTGGGGAGGAACCTTGTCCACGACCCTCAAGTAGGACACCAGTTCGTTTTCAATCAGGTACTCAACAAAATTGCGTCCGATAAATCCACATCCTGAAAGNTTTACTAACAACAAGCCTTTTGTGACAGGACCTTGTCTTTCTTTCAAAGTTACGGAAGTAAAAGTTCCTCTTTCGGCTTTCACTTCGTGCGCGCACACGCATTCATTTTTAATATAGATAGATATAAAGATAGATATATTATAAGGTATATCTTGAGAGCCCATAAAAGCAATCTATATCTGTTGAGCACTTCGCTAGACAATTAGCAGCAAGGAGGAACCTTGTCCACGACCCTCAAGTAGGACACCAGTTCGTTTTCAATCAGGTACTCAACAAAATTGCGTCCGATAAATCCACATCCTGAAAGTTAAATAATTGTTTGAACAATTAAATATTTCGAATCATTACGTAGAAATTAAGTGTCAATCAAGGTAAAAATTTCTATGTAAGTGATAGTTTACAGGATATCTCATTTTGCTTGAAAGAACAATGATTTTTTTTTTTTCTCTTTAAATAAAAATTTATCATTACGCACGTAGTGAAATTGAAGATTTTTAAAAAGACTTTGTCAAACTTTCAACGCGCGTCCTGAAAAACCCGTTTGTTGGAATGCGAGTTCGAAAACGAGTTACGAGTGGTATAATATATATAATATATTACGTGCACCTCTGCTGCTCATCAATACCCCCTCGAACCACATCAGCGGTATTCCAACCGAGTGCTCCGAAATTTACGTTTTAACACAAAACACATCTCACAGTCCCATTGAGCTTTTAAAACCCATGTACACCCGACTCGACACATCCTTCTTGGATAAAGAAAGAAAAAAAAAAAAAAAAAAAAAAGCAACAACAAATTTGGTTGCTCCAAAAAAAGTGTCACATCACGTTAATTTTAAATAAACGTATTGTATTATACGTATACATCTAAATAAAATATAATCTCACCTCCGAGTACAATGACGGCTGGTTTGAGTGCGAGCAGCTTGTCGTTGGCCATAATAATAATAATAATAACAATAATAAAGACGGATGATAAGAGCAACGTCAGAACGAGGCTCTCAGAGGCGCAATTTCCTTCCCTCGTCTATATACGGAAATAACTTATTTTTCCTAGTTTTCTTCCTTTTTTTTTTTTTTTTTTTTTTTTACATATTACGNGATATTTGAATAAAGTTCTAAGTAAGTTTGTACGTTTTTTTATTACAGTACGACAAGAATTTTACTGTTATGATTATGAATACAATTTTTTTTTTTTTTGTATTTTAATGCGAAAATTACCGGTTGACAATAAAAAACTTTTTACACAGTGTTATTGTTTATGTAAGAAAGTCGTAAAGGAGGGGAAAAATCTCATTTCACGAGCTAGGCAAGAATGTTCTTTGTTTTTTTTTTTTTTTTTTTTTTTTACACGCAACGAAATGTATGAATACAATTTTTTTTTTATCAACTACGATGGAACGGACGAGATAATTAGTTTGTATTGTTGGCAAATATCGGTGCACACGTAATTTTGTACACACATATATTTGTTCGTTATACGAAAACAGCGGCAGTCGCAAGTTGATAGCGCGATGAGTCACAACTGACTGGCGACACTCCCCGACTCCGACTCACTATACTGTCATAGCATCATGCTTTTCCCTCCCCAATGTATATACATAGGTTTTTTTTTTTTTTTTTATATTAGAGTCCGTACCACTACATATTAGTGCAGCAAGAGGGGAGGATGCGAGGAGGAGTGGACTGTGGAGGAGCGCGGGCCCGCAGACCTCTTTATCAACCCCTGATAAGAACAAAAAAAATAAAACATGGCATGACGGTTTAGCGCGTGTATATACTATAAAATACTTGCGTGGGTGTGTTTTCACGTATAAAAAAGTTTATACTCCAAAACTCTTCTGACGCTCCTCGTCTCTCTGGCTTCGCTGCTGTAGTGCACTTTGTACGAGTGTCCACTTGTACATGTTGTACTTACTTTATTTTTCCATGGAAACACTCGTATTCCTCTTGCTTTCTCGTGTCACGTGTGTCTCTCTAATTAAGCGTGCGATTCTTTTACGTATCTGGTTTATTTATTTATTCGTGTCTACAGTATAGTTATTTTCTTCTCTCACTGTTTTGATCTGTATAGTATAAGTTTTCTCACTTCAATTGAATACTTTCGGGTATTATTGTTCATTAAAATAGTTTTTTTCTTAGAAAGGGCAAATAATTATGGGAAAAACTTGTCGTTATTGACGATAAAAATATATGGATTCGTGACGATGACAAGTATGTTTTGTATGGCTTGGAACTATGTTTATTTTTTTCTCGCTAATCCATAAAAGCAATCTATATCTGTTGAGCACTTCGCTAGACAATTAGCAGCAAGATAACAACTGTCAATAACAGCGCTGCTAAACGAGTACATCAGATTAGCCGATTTCCGAGATAATCATATTTTTAGCGAGCAAAATAAAAATTAAATAGCGCATGGACATTGCATGTACGAAAATTGAACTAATAATCGTAGTAACGAAAATTTGTTGGCTTTTTGTAAGAGCAACAAATATTTTTTGTCGTTTTTTTGTTTCACCGTAGTATGTATTTTTTTCGGGTCTCCCAAAAAAGTGTTGGGTTGAACCGACGCTGTTTATTCAAATTCAAATGAATTGTCATGTAAAAAAATCAAGATTCGATATCAAGTATATAAATAAATAACATTTTTATATTATAAATGGAAAAAAAAAGAAAAAGAAGCGGTCGCAGATGATGCACATCTGGGTCAGATTGCGAGGTGCAGTGTACGTTGTATGGTTGCTCCAAGGGGTGCAGATTCATCAGATCAAATTCTCGTTGGAAAAAAATGTTCAGTGTTTCTAGTGCACGGTCTCTTGCAAACCCTGATGAGGAACTGTTTCGCTCGTGAAAAAGGTTTTCCTGCATAACAAGGTATACCCTCGTTGAGTTTACTCGAGGCCACTAATAAAAACGACGTTAAAATTAATTATAACGCGATAGAGCAATATAATTTCAGCTCAAAATGTGAATCGATTCAATTGAATAACATTTTTATTGGCAGTTGGAATACATGTTTGTCATGACACAAATACAATGGGAAGTATATTATTACACACACTTAAAGTACTTAACATAAGTATTAAATTAATTTAGTATAAGGCGGTATTTTTAAACACATTGAACAAAATAATATATCAACATTCAATAATATTGTTTGTTTTTATTTATAACGGCTGTGGGTACAAATTAGACTCGAAAATGCCACAATTCATGCTTTTTTAATGATAGTTTACGAGGCGATTTTACTAAGAGAGGGTCTCCCACACCCTCCTTCCTCGAGGCACCGTTGATTCATACTGTTCGGACGGCACCTAAGTACACCTCGGACCCATAGGCACCGTTGTTCTTTACTATCAGCATGGCACAGTAAGCATTACACCATATATAGCTGCCTGGGAACTATCACAGTGATTAGGACATGTGGAAAAAACCCCAGAGGTACTAGCGATGTAGTGTCAATAATGATGTATTATTTTGTTCGATGTATTTAAAAATAGCGCCTTATACTATATTAATTTTAAGTGTGTATGCATGTATTTGATATTTATTGCGCATTCACAAATTTAATTGTCAATCAGCGCCATCTAGCGTTATTTATTATCTCGCCTTTTTGCGAAGTCGGCTCCAAAACCATAGACATATAAAAAATAGACTGCTCGTTCTCATGTAACGGCGCACGGCGCTGAAGCACAAGTAGAAAGAGACACAATAATTAACGAACATGTATATCTGTCTCTCTCGCACGTTGCCTACGGTGGGGAGGTTGCATCAGCTGGCCTTAGTTTACTGACCCCCACCTTTGGCAATGTGCGAGAAAGACAGATACCCACGTTCGATGTCGTGTCTCTTTCTACTCGTGCTTCAGCGCCGTACATAAGAACGAGCAGTCTACATTTCTTATATGTCTATGGCGCTGACTGTGGACTAAATAAATATAATAATATTGGTATATTGTAAAAAAATACAAGGCCAACTGGCCAACAAAACTACATTAAGAATTAAGATATAATAATATGTGTGTACACCACAGCCACAGAGTTTGACAGCCAAACGGCCAAAGCTATTTTGTATAAAGACAGGCTATGTAAAAAAAGTACGTGAAGCATGACTTCAAATCTCGGCTTTGAACTACAGAAAACTTCTTTTACTGTTATATGAACGTAAGTACTTAACTGCAAAAAATTTTCCAAACAAAGATATAGATATGTTGTATATGATATTTTAAAATTTCTGTTTTTGAATAGTATGTAGGTGTAAGTACTTATATGTATAGGTGCTTCGATTTTTTCAACGAGTTACACAAATTGTAAACAAAACAAACGACTGAGGATTTTACGTCAAGTACCTGTTACTTTGCTTAATTTTCATTCTTGATCTCGTACACATATTGTGTGAGTTCACAAAAATTTTCACTGAGAAATCTAATCATCGTTACAATGATATTTCCTGTCGAAATTTGGGAAAAAATTTTACATAAAACAGAGGCTCTGTCACTCACACGTTTGCGTTCTGTCAACGGTACATTTAATGCTATAATCACAAAACATCTACAGGTATGGACAATTGGAGAATGTGTTTTATATGTTGTTTTTATTTTTTTAACAAGACATTTCAAATCATTTTTTTTTTTTTCACAGAAATCAGACGCTTGGTACAGGCAATGTGAAAAAGATATTCCAAAAATGTATTGGTTTCTGCTGCTGGAAAATTCGTTTCACGCAGTCACCCTCGAAAAACAATTTAAGGATAAAAAAGAGTACGACCGCTATGATTTCAAAATATGGGTGACACTGTACAGAGCTTGGACTAAATGGAAGAACGTTCAAAGTTACGATAAATACATTACAGAGGACTTCAGTCCTATACCAGAGCACAGGCTTTCAGAAAGAATCACTTGTTGTTCTACATTAGGTGGGCTTTGTAATACATTATATTAATATTTTTTCAACATTCTATCTAAAAGCTAAAGAGACTTTGTAGGTGAATTGGTCGCTGTTGGCTCCAGCGAAGGATATGTTAGAGTATATAATTTGCGGACACATGAACTGGTATTTTTAGTTGATCAGTATGATCATGCAGAGTCTGTTAAATTATGGGTTCAAGGTGCGTTTCCGGTTATCAAGAATTGTTTTTTGTCATAAAAACTAATAAATCTTTACGATTTCCAGGCAAAAATTATGATAACATAATTTTAATTGTAACTTCAGTTTATAAAACTGTTAGAATATGGGATATAGTTCAGCAAAATACGTTAATAAGCAAAAGACCTGGCCTTGTAATGTGGTGAGTGTAATTGGTGTTTTACCATTATCAGATTGTATTCATACAAGTTTTAAACTGATTTTGTTTTTCCAGTGCCGGCCACTCTTATTATTGTATAGGCTTACAAGGTAAGACCATTCTTGCACGCAATGTTGCGTCTGAAAAAAACTTTTCTGTGACGTTGGTCATGAATTATTACAACTCAAAGTCAAACATACCCACGATTCAATGCGCTTCTAATAACGTATATCCTATTAACATGACAATAAACATGAATGAGGTAGGATTAAATATATAAATCAATTTTGATAAATATATTAAGAAAATAAATTACCTGTACACCTCTGTTTGAAGCTGTGCTGTTTGTACAATAACGGTCTTTATTGCGAAATCGACTTACAAAAAGTTTGTGAAAGTAATTCTTTTTACGAACCACAAATAACGTACCTGGGAGCGCCAAAAAATCAAAATATTCGTAGCTATCATTTGTTTAATCCTCATGTGGCATTTTGCATTACAGGTACAGCAATGATGTTTTAAAAATTCTCTAATTCGCACAAGTGTTTTAATTCATTTTCTCAATTCTTTTTTTTTTGTGTTTAGACAGAGGCCATTTAGGTATATCAGTGTATAAAAGTGAATGGCAAATGTACAATGTCTTTCCATTTTTAGAAGGTTCTATTTCAGCAATACTTTTTCACGTATCTTTATTAGTAATAGGATTAGATTATGGCAAGTATTATGATTTTTTTAACATTATCACAATTCATCTGAAAAATTCAATATAAATTGATAAATTTTCTAGGTACCGTGTGTTTATATTCCGTCAAAGATCCACGGGGACTGAGGGAAATTAATTTCAAAAAATCAAAAAAAATTTCTATCGCCAATGAACCAATAGTTTCTATAAATATTTTGGAAATATACGGAGATCAAAGACTATTAGTTACAACAAAACAGACAGTGTACAATATTAAGTTAGATTATGAATAAACGAAATATCTTATTTTTTATCATTGTTAACATTAGAAAAATAATTATTATAAAGTGATGTACAAATAGTTAAATTAAAACACAATCAAATGAAAACAGATTTCATAAATACCATGTGAAATACATATTTATATATACATATTTTTTAATTATTTTTATAAACATTACAGTAAAATAGAAACAGTGCAATTGTGTACTTTGATTAAGAACAAAATTAATAAACACTTCAACAGATGTACAAAAATTGGTAGAAAAATAATTTAATGTCTATATTTTATTCCGATCAATCATCTTCTAGGTTGTGCACTTGCTGTACCATAAGTACGGTCCCAGTCCAAGTAAACGGTCAGATCTTTGGGAGACACAGATGGACGAACTGTATTAATAGCCTCTTTAAAATCGACGAATGTAACTTTTCTTACATCTTCCGTACTAATGGCTTCCAGTTGGTCAAAGGGTATACTTCTGATCGGGCCCATACTCGCTTCTTTACAAAGATTAGTCATATCGGCTCCAGAATAACCATCGGCCAATTTGGCGATCTCATTAATATCTTCCTCGGTTAATTCGTGACGTTCTGACTTTAACAAATTACGAACAATTTGGGCTCTGGCCTCTAACTCCGGTAATGGCACGTATAAGCGCTTAACGAGTCGTCTGCGTGCTGCTTCGTCGAGCTCGTATGGCCGATTGGTAGCACCGATCACAAGTATACGATCGTCGTCTCCCGTTGCCGCGCCATCAAGCTGCACTAGGAATTCAGTCTTCATTCTTCTGGAGGACTCGTGTTCGGTCTCTGATCTTTGAGTTAAAAGAGAATCGATCTCGTCGATAAACACTACAGAAGGCTGTTCGACCTGGGCCACGGCAAAGAGCGCGCGTACCATTTTTTCTCCTTCACCGATCCATTTGGACGTGAGTGAGCTGGCAGAGATCGAGAAGAACGTCGATTTACTTTGAGATGCTATGCACTTGCCGATCAATGTTTTACCCGTACCAGGTGGACCGAATAATAAAATTCCCTTGGGAGGTCTCCTCAAGCCTGTGAAGATGTCTGGACGTAACATTGGAAAAACGACGATTTCTTTGATAATTCTTTTTGCATTTTCCAGTCCAGCAATGTCGTCCCAGGTAGTTGGATTGCCGCAATCCATAATTTCATTTCGAATGAGTTCGATCATTTTTGGCTCTATACCCTTGAGTCTCTCGTCAGTCACTTCGGACAACTCTTCTTCTTTTGATGAGTGCTGTTGCTGTTGCTGCTGTTCATCTTTGAATGGACAAACATAGGGAGCATTGAGCGCTTTGCCACCCAGAGATTTTTTAACCGGTGGCTTGTTATTCATTGCTGTTTGTCTATTTATACTTGGCCCTTGTCGATTATTTTTTACCTGCTGCTGTATCGCTAATGCTGTTCTGGCCGTTTTGAATCCAGCAAACTTATTTTCTTCCGATTTTTCCCCTGCCTTTTCGACCACAGTATTAGGCTTTTTGTGACCGGTGTTTGTTTTTTCTGAGCTTATAGTCTTCATCAAACTTGACGCAGGATCAAAGTGCCTCTGTTGTGCTGCTGAACCGACTGTCCTCACATGCCTGGAGTCAATAGTTTTATTTTGAACAACTTTGACTTCCTGCTGTTGTACAGGAACTTTCCTTGCTCTTGGAACCGAGCCTCCATTCTTCCACGTATCCATGACTCTCTTAACATCCTTATCCAAGAACTGTTGATTAACACACGGATGAGTGGCCTCTTTACTGCAGGGCAATGGCTCTAGGTATTGTAGCGCTAAATTCGGATCTGTCAAATTCGACTCCCATTCCAATGGATCGTTTTTCGTGTTGACATTCAACAGGTTGAACTGCTTCCAATAATTGTTCAACCCACTTTTGTTGTCAACAAGGCTTGCATAATTTTGCAGCTCCTTTCGAAGCAGTGAACCAGCCACATCTTCGTTTATGCTGCAAAAAATTAATAACATTTTTAATTACTTGAGAGGGATGTTTATCACAATAACCAATCGTACGTACATGTAATTACCTATTTTTACAAGTCACGTACTTAATGAACAAACATCTACGCTCAATGTCAGCGATTTCTGCCTTAGATTTGTTTCCTTTGGAAAACAATAGAGTTTGATAAGCTGCCAAATAACTCCTTTTCAAATTTTCAGCAGTTGCGTCGTCTGCCATTTGAAATTGGCGCGCTTGATATTACCGCACTCACTACACGCAGTAGAGGAAGATATTTGATTGCAGGTTAATTCTTTCAAACTTAGATCATCAATCTTCTCATAAAAATACACTTTTACCTTTAAATAATCAATAATTTACTGAAAGCGTGGTGGTTTTGAATTACGTGATTGAGATTTCGAATGCATTTCTATATTCTCTTTCTTCTATGTCCTCTCGATGATCCCTGCAATGTAACAACAACAAACTGAAGACTGAAGTACCCGAAAGTAATGCACGTTGCAGAATCATCAGAATCGGAAATGAATATATACGGTAAGTTTACGTAATCATACTCAGTTACTCACTTATTTTACTAACAACAAGCCTTTTGTGACAGGACCTTGTCTTTCTTTCAAAGTTACGGAAGTAAAAGTTCCTCTTTCGGCTTTCACTTCGTGCGCGCACACGCATTCATTTTTAATATAGATAGATATAAAGATAGATATATTATAAGGTATATCTTGAGAGCAGCTGATGCGATGATCCTGAGAGTGAAGGGGTCAGTTTGCTCTTTTGAGGATTTCGCACACGTAATAGTATTGTCCGTTTCTTACTTGCTCTAGGACTACAGGAGTCTACGATGAAGTGGCGTTTCAACAATACACTGATCCAAAGTAAATCTTTCCGCGCATTAACGTGTACACGCAGATAGATATGTTGTAAAATATAAATACTACAATGTCTACCATCATCTTATCATCATCGTATGGTCAATCTTGCGCGCGCTGATGGTCCATACACAGCGGTGATGCTTTGCAAAATCTCGAGGTAAGACCAGGCGTGTATATGTATACAATATTCTTTTCCGTATTGAAAACTTTGCTTCGAATATACCTAGTATTGATACAGTTGCTTCATTCTCGTAGCGTCTAATTTGTTGTAATTTAATTATTTCATTTGTAAAAGAAAAAGATTAGCGCGTCGCTACTCTGTTCTTGTGTTTGCTGCATGATGAGGAACGGATGGTGAGCGCAGCGGTAGCGCAATGTCGAAGCCTAGCTGTAGTTTGCAGGATGACAGCAGGTCCCGTGATGTATTTCGCAATGCCCAGCAGCGAGAGTCCTTTGACAATTGGGTGCATTGCATCTGCATCGTTACGTTTGATCTTGAACTTGGCCAGGCTATTGAGGTAAGTTGTATTGCTTGGTGTATGCACCATTCAAGTACTTATTTCTGTGAGTTGTAAGTATGATGGTTACTTTCATTGGAATGTGTGCTCCAAATTACATATGTTTATCTTTTTAGGCAATATATCCCGAAGATGTGGAGCTTACGGAGCAGGAAAGATCCAACATTTGCTACTTGGCATTTCCAGACTCCAACTCTGGATGCATGGGAGACACACAATACCACGTAAGGATAAGAAAGGGTGTTGCCATTAGCAAGGGCTGCAACGAGACTCGAGAACTTAGAGATTATGATAGAAAGTCACCCATGTTCCTACAGACTGATAAAGATTACTATTGGGGATTTGTGTACTTTCGCCAAGTGAAAGATAAGAATCTTCCTAGAGGCTATTTTCAAAAGGTACCACTCACTCCAATTGACTTATCCTGTGATTGACATGAAAATTTTTTTCTTTACCCAGTGTTTGTTTTTTTTTACATTTTTAGAGCATAGTATTAGTTACAAGGCTTCCTTTTGTTAATCTATTTAGTGAAATATGCGCTCTCATTGCTCCGGAATTTTTCGATAGTGGCCCCATGTGCATGGATAGAGTAGTTAAAGAAATCAGCAAATGGCCTCCCCCTACTCCTGGTCAAGTTTTGCACTTGCCCCTGTTAGGGGTACTCTTTCAGGTAATAATGTGTAAACATGATTAATTTTAACGAAATGCCTAATAAATACGTATTTCTTACAGACATACATCCCGAATAACGCCATCAAAACAGCTGTGCCGAACGTTGCTGCGTCAGAATGTGCCCCTGCCAAGACTGCAGCTGCAAGGAGTTTGATTCTGGTGTCTGCCTATGATGGTGATATGTTTAAGAGTCTCTCGAGCATTGTCACTCACATACACTTGTTATGGGAGCTCGTCTTGTTAAGCGAGCCGATTGTTGTAATGGCTAGTTCACCCACTATTTGCTCTGATATTGTTCATACTCTCACCGCGTGAGTTCAAACGAGTCATTGAATTACATTTTCTTGAATAACCGTATTTGACGATTTAATTTTTTTTTAGAATGATTGCCCCACTCAAGTATTGCGCCGATCATAGACCGTACTTTACCATCCACGACTCAGAATTCAAAGAATACACAGTGGATAGTCAAAGTCCACCTGCAGTTATTCTTGGGGTCACTAATCCTTTTTTTGCCAAAACCTTGCGTCATTGGCCACATATCGTTCGTGTAGCTGAAAACGGCTCGGTTGGAGGTGATGTTTTTTTATACATAATTAAATTTTATTTTCCACTTCTCATACTAAGTATAGAATTTATTTTATTTATTTTTTTTTTTTTATTGCAGATAGTCCAAAGTACAAATCAAAGAGATCTGAAGGTCTGAAGGTCGTAGACTCGAAACCCGGACTTTATACTCAGTATAAACCTTTCCTACAAAAGGACAAAGGAATTCTTAAAAAGTTGTTAAAAGGAGTTCAAACGAAAAGACCAGGAGAGGCGCAGACTGCATTATTGAGACGACACCTCACAGAACTGACCGAAAGCTTTATGATTCCGCTCGAAAGGTATATAGCGAGTTTGATGCCTCTCCAAAAAACTATATCCCCTTTTAAGGTTCGTAATTAATTATTTTTAAATTTGTGTATTCAACATTTTTAAGTGAACACTCAGTGAATTTTTTATTCACAGGCAACTCCGATACCCCAACTTTTCAATCCCGATGATTTCTTAGCTACTCTCAATAACGCTGGTCCCCAATTAACGACGGGGATCAAAGGTGATTGGGTCGGTTTGTATCGTCGATTTTTTAGATCGCCCAATTTTTCTGGCTGGTTCCACGCGCGATACATGGAGTTGACTAATAAGCTGCAGGCGATTCAACTTGAAGCCCTTTCACAAGCGGTAAGTAAAATGAAATATCCGTTGAACAATAACTACTTAATGGCAAATAATTGGTTAAATTTTCCTTGCATTTTTCCAGAATTTAACTGCATGGGTGAGGGACAAGCAAGAAGTTGAGGTAGTCGACATGATTTTAAGAATTCGTCAAAAATTAGAGAAAATAAATCTTGATGATGTTCCCTTGAAATACTCCGTTCAAGAGATGCTGCGCGAGCGCATCAACGAGATTACACAAACCTTACCAGACGATCTGCGATTGATCTTGAACAAAGAATCTTGACATCACTGCCGCGTTGTCGCTGCACTGATGCATACTCAGCATCAGCAGAAGCGACAACCAATCTATTGCGCTATCAAAGTTCAAGGGATCTGTTGAGAGGGTAAATCTAATAACATTCGGCTGAGGCCATTTGTATTTTGTTTTGTACTAATGTTAATGTTATTTCAACTCGGTTTAGCGCGTAGATGACACAATTACCTTAGTGATGAAACGGTTTTTTTTTTTTTTTTAATGTAAATTTTGAATTTTTATGATGTATTTAAAGCGAAACTCATGTACATACAAGGAAATGACGAACTGTTTATACAGCTGCTATATTTTTATACTGTATTAAAAAACTGCTTTTTTAAAAAAAACGAATACATTACCTAAATAGTCTAAATAAAATAATCAAAGGTGCGTTTACGATTAAAATCCGCCTTACTGTCTTACACTGCGGAAGTACACCCTTGCTTGCCCTTTGCGAGTAGAGGCCAAATGATTTATTTTTAATTTTTTTTTTTTTTTTTTCGATTATAATCAATTTCTCATATTTGATTGTAAATCTGAGAAATACCGTAAAATTAATAAAATATGTACATAGAAATGTTAGTTTAACATCAGCTACAATATTCACTCCCATATTAAATCCGTAATCTTCGCCTCTGTGCCCTCTGTGGTTCAATGAATATGTTATGTATAATGAATAATTTATATTTGTCCTATTTAAACAAAATATCGAGAGACAGGCAAAGGGCAGCCCACTTAGCTCTTTTTTTTTTTTAAATAACTACAGATAATACGAAAGGAGCCGAAAGGAGAAGGAAAAGTAAGGGATGCAAAAGTATGAGGGAAAATATAAGATCACACGGAACAATTTATTTATACATAATACGCAATTCCTACTGAGTAATACAAAAATACTCAAATAACATTAATTATACTTTTTTTGTTTCTTTTTGTTTCATTAACATGATTTTAGACTTTAGATATATAACGAATTGGAAAAAACAATACTCTTAACGTTTGATCGTTTTTTTTACTCTCTTGATGACGAAAATCTTCCATACTCCTGACTAAATGGCTGTAAATAAAAGAAAAAGTTATGATAAGAAAAACAATTTTTTACATCTACATATATCAGTGAAATTTAAACTCACCAGCCTCTGGATGGCGTCATATATCTCGCGATACCATTCGGCTATTACTAACGCGTTGTCACACTGTATAAGAACTTGCAGTCCAAGTAAAGTGTTAATGAGATAAACGTTTTTCCTATTACTCAATTTTTCTCCGGGTTCTATGAAGGCACCGTTTAAGTCTATTGATATGTCAGGTTTAGCTGCAGCTAATGGGTCCATTTTCTAAAATTTGACATTAAATTAACTTTTCGCATCGTTTTGCAGTATCTTAACATTTCTTTTAGTAGTTAAAAAAGTACCATTGCTGCGTAGGTTTTAGCATCTTTGAAAAACAACAAAAATAATTCCGACAATACAGCGTAAGAGGTGCTCCAAGCTTTTCGTAGCTTTTTGCCATTTTCGGTCGTTATTTTTGTTTTGTTTATTACACCTTCTTTAAGGATGCACTGTAAAAAATAAATTCAAGTTGTAGGTCGATTCTAAATTCAATAAGTTGAGATAAAAATATAAAAATCAACAAAACATTTGTAATTTTTTAAAATATTGATCCATGGCTGAACAAGTCGTAAGTGTCGGACACGGAGTCTAGTCTCATTCCACTAGTTAAAAAACTCGACAAAAAACGTACCATGTTACCGTCAAAAAGTTGCGGCCAATCACCATTCGATATGGTCCTAACGCGATTTTCCGTAGTAACTGACGGAAGAGCCCAGGACGACTCGTTGCTGTTTTCTTCGAAAAAGTATATTTTACCCTCTTCGTCGTTGGAAGAAAACCACTAAAATAAATATAAAAACAATATATTGTTTGACTATTAAATAAGGAGAAAAGAAAAAAAAGCATCAATTCTCACCTTGTCTCCTTGCTCGTTAACAAAGCATACGCGCTTAGCAATGTGATCGTACGACTGTGTCCAGCCTGGCGGCAGGTCAATGAGGTTCTCAAGACTGCTGTCTCGCACGCGTGACGGACTAGCCGAGGAGCAAGACGTTGAACTAAGGATCATTTCGTCCGAAAGGCTACGACTGAGATCATTGACGTTCCCGTCGGAGAGCGAAATATTGTGATGCTTGGGAGTCGAGTGCTGCTGCTGCTGCTGCGGGAGCTGGGCCTTGCCGGAGGCGGGAAAGGTTTTGTACTGCAGGAACTCCTCGCTGCCGCTGTCCGACGTGCGCAGTAGGGTTTTGAAGCCAATCGCGGTGCTGCGCTCGATGTCGATTTCGCTGAGCTCGTCGAGGCTGCTGTCGCACATGGCTGGCTGATGCGCGCTTTGCGGCTGGATTCGCCGCTTGGCCGGAATCGGCCGACCGATTAGACGCTCGGTACTCGCTGCCGGCTGAAACGTGTATATCTTATCAAAACGAATCTCAACAGCTCATTATCGATGGTGTGACATTACACCGCGCCGTACTCGGTCACGGACAAAGATCAACAAAATGATTTTGACCTCCTTTATTAGTAGGCAGTGAAAACTTAGAAAAACGCGGCCAAAGTGCGCGAACCACACAGTATCTATATTGTATAGATGTACAATGTAGGTTAAAATGATCTAATTATCGTGTTAAATGCTCATTCGGCCAACAAAAGCTTTGAACGAGCACTTCGATGTGTTTGTCGACCCATCCAATTAGAGAAGAAAATAAATGACCATGCACCAACCGTGAGATCGGGAGCGGACTGTTTGATCCGCCTGAGCGACTCCTTGGACCTGAGCTTAGGTACGGGCTTGTACCTCCTCCGGGAGTCAGCCTCGTCCTCCTTCTTCTCGTCCGAGCAGTCTAGATCTCCTAGGCTTCTCGACTTGCGCTCGAGCTTGCTGTACCTCGAGCGCTCGGCGCGCCCATCCTGGACGGGCTCCTGGCGAACGACGAGACTGCAGCGGGCGTACTTTCGCTCGACCACGAGCGGTGCCTCCCGAGCGACCCTCTGACCCCCCTGCGACGGCGCAAATATCTCCATGTGGCTCGCGCTACTCGGGTTCCGCCTCGGGACTCGGTCCACGCTGTCCCGGCGGCGCGGGTCGCGCTTGTTCAGCGCCCCGTCGCTCTTGGAGCGGCGCTTGTAGAGACGCAGCGAGTCCTGGCTGAGCGTCGTCGTCGGGCAGTCTGTAAAACAATTTGGCAATCTTCATCGATCGAAAATATTATAGAGAGAGTGAGCGCTTTTTTTTTTTTTTTCATCACCAATATTATTGCTACATCTGGGGCACAAGAGATTAGTCGATCGAGTGAAAAATTTAATGAGCCGCGCGGATCGTTTATAAATAAAGCGGCGGCTCTTATCTCGCGCGCGACACGTATTTTCTACGTGCCGTGGTTTTTTAATGCAAACTGCTTCTCTGGAGTATTTTCTTTTGTTAACTCTTCGATCGAGCTTTTGGGAAAAGCCAAGGAGGGGCGAATAAAAAGGTAAACTTGCCCAAATCCAGACCGGACTGTTGTCTCTCGGCGTCGGCGGCGGCGTTGGCCGGCAGGAACTTGATCTCGCTGGCGAGCTTCTCGAGGGACGGAGTAAGCTGTATCTTCTCCCGAAAGTCCTTGCTCGGCATCTTGAGGGCACAGGGCACCCGGTCGCGCCTCACGCGCAGCGAGATGTTGGAGTACGAGGGTGGCTCCTCGTCCGTCTGCTGGTGTCGGTGACGTTGCTGCTGCTGCTGCTGCTGCTGACTCCGGGACGTTTTCTCGTTGTCGTTGAGGATGTTTGCCTCGTTGTACTCGTCCAGCAGCTTAGGCGACCTCGCGGTCGGGCTCTTCGGAGCTTTGATCATACTAGAGCGCGGTGGCGGCGGAAAGTGAAACACCTTGTTGCGTTTGTACGCGTTTACTGCCGTGTGGTGCTCGTTGTCTTTGGTACTTTGCTGTTCGTCCTTGTCGATGTTGTTGTTGTTGTTGTTGTTGTTGTTGTTGTTGTTGTTGTTGTTGTTGTTGTTGTTGTGACTCTGCGATTCTAGCTCTGGGTCCAAGAGATTTACTTGTATCTCGGCGTTCTCGAAGCGCCGCGAGTTATTCATTTCGTGCAATTCCTGGGCCAGTTGGCAGGGTCCGGAGACCCCCTTCTCCTCGTCGCTCCCGTTCCTTGCTGCGGCCTTGGAGTTCGAGGACGACGACTGCATCAATTCCGACATGAGGGTCTCTATGGCCCACATTTTTCTCTTGTCGTTTATCAAGAGCCGGTCTTTATCCTTGGACGGTGACTCTTTATCCTGATCCTTACTGGGAACAGGTTTTTCGGGTACTGTTGCTGGTGCATTATCTACAGGTTTATCGGCACAGGGTGATTTTTCCGGTTCGCCCGTGTCTGCAGCGCGTACAACTGCAGCTACGGATTTACCGAGGGCACTTGTGGACTTTTGGTCGGGCAAAGACCGTGAAAGCTTTCTTGGACCCTTACTGTCGACGACGCTCCCGATTACCGTCGTCACAGACTGTTGTTTAACTTCCACGGCATTATTATTATTACTATTATTACTATTAGTATTACTGTTATTATTATTACTACTACTACTACTGTTTGTACTCCCTTGTAAATTCGGCGAGGCGCTCCGCCTCTTTTGCGCGTCCTCTTTGATTTTCGCCAACGACACAAACTGAAAGTTACTGTCAGCAGTAGCAGCATTGGGTCTCTTGGGCACGATCTCGGGGTGAAGTTTGTTTTTAAAAATGTGTCCCGAGACCTTCTCCCACTTGCTATGTATGTTCTCGAAGCTGGAGCTCTGCTCCGTCTCCTCCACTTGGTCCACGTGTTTACCACTACTACTACTACTACTGCTGTTGTTATTGTTATTGTTGTTGTTATTGCCTACTGTATTATCTACCTTAGCGTCTAAGACGATAGTTTTTTTCAAAATCACTTTGTTTGCCAATTCCTCTTGAAAAGGATTGAGCAGCTGCGCGTCAGCCGCCGTGTTTTTCATGTCCCTGCCGAAGCACATGCCGAAAGCAGAGCCGTCCTTGTGCTTGGCTGAGGGCACGAGGGCCCCTAAAATCGACCTTCCACCCGCAACTCCACCGCTCGACGTCGTGCTACTGGAAGTCTCCTCGGTGCTGTTGTCCACCGACTTCTTTCTCTGGCTTTTGACAACCTTTGGAGGCTTGGACTTGTTGACGTCGCTACCGTGGGAGGAGCCGGTCAGGTTGCCGGACAACTTTTTCATGACGCTCCTGAAGGAGTCGTGGGCCTTCCTCGTACTGCTGCTGCTTGGCTCCTTGTTGGGCTCATCGCTGCTGGAATGTTGCTGGGCTGTAGTTGCATTACCGCCACTTATACTGCTGTTGTTGCTACTGCTGCTACAGCTGCTACTGACAGTCCCATGGTGTTGTTGTTGTTGCTGGTCATTCGGCAAGACAGTGGAGGAGGAGGTAGGCGGGGACTTGCTAAACATCTTGTCCTTGTCGACGTAAAACCTCGTGCTCTCCGGTAGGATATCCTCCGGAGGTGCCTCGACGACGTAGCCCGTGGGCACGTAAAAGGTGATCTGCTCGGGCACGAAGAAGTTGCTGCTGCCGACTAGATCGGCTGGCCTGACGACCTGCCACCAGTCGTCGTTAGTCTTGTGGAGGAGTACCAGCCGCTCGTCCTTTATTATGCGCACCCGTTTGCCCCGGGTCTCGTACTCAAAGTCATAGAGTACCCGCAGTCTGACGCGCTCGCTTGTCGTTCCCCTCGTCGTGCTCTGCTGCATGACTCGCACATAAATAACAATGCCGCGATCCTGATGCTGATGGTGCTGAAGGCGCGGCACTCCTCATCACTACACTTGATTTTGGAGACGTACGTGTACGTGTTTGCTACTTAGCTTTCAAGTGAATATATTTCATCCGCTGCACTGCAGTTGTTCGGATCCCACAGCATCTCACAAGAATGCCAGAGATAAGTCAATATTCCTGTTGTTTTATCAACTTACTCCCGCCACACCTGTTAGCGCACCCCAATGACAATTACCTCATGCGATAGGACTACAAACGCGCACACACGATATGATTAGAATGATAAAATAAATCGGTTGGACGATCAACAGGCGTACCTAAGAGTGCATGTAACGTACATACGTACACGACGATATCGAGAGAGTGTATGACGAGATGATGATGGTGATGATTGAGCTCCTTAAGATGCACACTATTGCGAGCTGTAATGCAAGTTCTTGTACTTTTTATAAGTACTGTGTATTACGAGAAGGAATGACGTTCGTCACGCCCTGCTCTCTCGCTCGCTGCCTCGCTCTCTGTTTTTTTTTTTTTTACCCATACCAACACGGGACGGGCGTGCAACTACTGCAATTACACCCAACTGACCGAAGACCGAACGCGTACAATTGCTTCTACTATTCTACTCACTGTACTGAGAACACTGAGAATATATGCATATAGGACACACAAATATACACATTTGCCACTTGCCATAGCATACTGTCAGCAGCAGAGCACTGGTTTTTTAAAACTCTTTTTTACTTTCTGCGTCTTTTGTCATTTTTGCGCGTTGTCGCTTTTGATTGATGGTCGGACAGGTCGGATTTTTTTGTTTTTTTTTTCTCATCAACTGATGTGTGAGTATGTCATTATACCTACAGCGAACAAGGGAATTCCCCGACGAGGTTGCGGAAGTAACGGGTATTTTCCGCAATCGTCACCAGCAATAAGTAATAGTGGGTTGCGCTTTACGTTACCGTCAAGTCGGTAAGCCAACTATACCTTGAATTAACTGGCGCTCTGTTCTGTAATCTGGCCAGTTAAAATAGCAGACGACAGTCAACAGCGATGAAATCTTCAACGCACTTTTTTCTCGACTTTCACGTCGTCTGCTGTTTTAACTGGCCAGATTACGGAATAAAGCGCCAGTTTAATTCAAGGTAGTTGACTTACCGACCTGACGGTAACGTAGAGCGCAACCTTAAATTACTTGCTGGTGACGATTGCGGAAAACACCCAAATGTCGATCAGGAAATCGGTTTTTTTTATCAACGATCGGCTAGAACGGCGCCTCCGCGATCAGGGATTACCTGTATATATATATACTGCAGTTGCAGAGATTCAGTTAGCGCTGTTAATTCGGCGCTTCCGGTACAATATGCAGTACACCTGTCGATTTTCGGATCTTGTGTATGTGGAATTTAAAATGTGTGTGTGATTTTGCAGTTTAGCTTAAATTAATTAGCTTGGGAGTAAACATTATATTACGGAGGCTTTCAAAAAAAAATGTCAAACCCATTGGTATATACGTTCGGATTTTTTCAGTTTTCGAGTCAGAATTCATATTTACAACAAGTGTACTAATAATATTAAAAAAAAAAAAAAAGAGTGCCCCCCCCCAAAAACAACGATGGTTATCATTTGTTGCACCACTGATTCCTATAAAGCACATATATTCAAAACTACACGTGTAGTACTGAAAAATTTCGGGGTTTCCCACGTATCGAATAATATTATTCATTGTGAGTCGTACAGATATAATAATTATCGTTTTTTAAAGATTCGTATAAAACAGCAATGACATTTCGATCCAACAGTACAACGACAGAATCATTATGTAAATTTTACAGTAGAACAACAGTCATTTTTTTGCCGCGTTTGGCACTTTCAAAAAAAATTATTAATAACTATCAACGTGTGGGGTGTAAAACACATATACACAGACACATACGTTCATTTACAATGTATTGTTTATCCAATTGTTTATGTTTTTTTAAATACACGCCAATAATTTGCTGCGATTTGCCATTACCACACCGCTGTTTTCACTAAAATCGCAGTTTCCGATGTTCGCATTTTTCATCAATGAGCGCGAGATAAAGAAATTAACTGTAAGTGCTACTTGCATATCCAATAATAATTTGTTGTTAAACGTTTATCGTGTACTCTATAAAATAAAAAATAAAAAACCCAAGTTTCATCATCCAACACAAAAGCGCTTTTATCGCCTTTTTACCAATAATTTGAGATATGGCGCAAAGCACGTATAGTTTTTAATTTGTTTTCTTGGCCGGAAGGTTTAATTACCTTTTCTCACACTTGTGTAATTTTCATATAAATAGACATATTACGTACAACTCCACCGTTTCAATAAAATAAACGAGTGGTTTCCAACACCTATCGATTGTAAATCAAAGTCGCAACCCCATTGAGTCCAAAAGTTGAGCGCATTAGTAAGTAAGTAGTGATTGTAAAATAAAAGTAGGTAACGGGTGAGTGGAGAGAGAGACGACGAGGTAAGAATTAAGGGACCAGAGGATCTTACGAGTGTATAGGGTATAAGGAGAGATGACGTGTGGGTAAAAAAAAATTGTTTTCACCGAATCGCCGCAAACAATCGGCAAAAAACAGGGAAAAGAGAGAGCAATTTCAGTAGCAGTTTGTCACATGATGTGTGAGAGTGTAGAGAGAGTGAGCTGACGTGTTATATGTGTGTTGGAAAAGAAAAAGGAGCCAAAGCCACCCCTCGTGTATTCGCCTCTCTCGCATCGCTTGCCCAACATTTTGCCCACCCTTCTCTTCTCTCTCTCTCTCTCGTTCTCTCGTGCGAACGTGAAAGCTGCGGAATTAAAGAGAGGAAGAGAAAAAGAGACACAAAACACAGCAGTAGCAGCTTGCCTACCTACCCTACCTATAGTACCTACTACTGCTATACAGTGCTACTCGGTCGGTCGGTCGGTCACACACATAAAGCAAACAGCAGCGACGACGATTGTCATGCGGCCCTCGTCCCCCTCGTCCCGTTAAAAGGACAAAATAAAAGGTGCTCTCGTACGTTAGTAAGCCGTGCGTGGTACTTAATTTTTCGTTAATGAGTGCGTGTTTAAGTATACACCCCAAGTACAAAGTGAAAAGTGGTGCATTTTGATATACAAAACGGAGCAAGAGAGGATATATATAGTGTATATGTGTAGTGTGTGTTGTATACTCTTCTGCTCCTCTCGCATCGTATAATACCTATACTTGACTTCTATCGTCAGTCGGAGAGCTAGTCCGTCTATATACACATTAGCGCCTATTACTGTGTCTGTCTGGCTGGCGGTTATCCTTTTGCTTTGATTAATCAAGCACTCGGCGGCGTCCTGGCCTCGAAATTCGGCCCCGATTGCGCTGGACCAGCGTCTCGTCCTTCAAGCTCGAGGTTATGTTGGGGGAACCCAGCAGCAGCAGCAACTCGTTATACTCCGCCGTTCTCGTGTCATCGTCGCCGCTGTAACAGCTCGTTCAGCTGCTGCTGCTGCTGCTGCTGCTGCTACTATTTGTGCTCTTCCTGATGGTTCATGTTCTGCCAATTATTGTCCTGCAGTTGCTCCTGTAGTAAAATAGTACACATCTGCAGTACTAAATCTTACGCTGATGAAAGCGATTATTTTTCTCAGCGCTGCTACCTTCAGCAGACAACATTAAAGGTAAGGACGTGCTTTGTTTTTGTCATTTGTTGTTGTCTTTTTCTTCTTCATCTAAGTATACTTATCACTCTGCTCCTTATTGGCGTTCTCGGTTTTTTTAATGATTTGTTGTGCACCATCGAGAGTCGACCCTTTAAAACTCACGGCTTTCTTTAACACGACTGTCGCGCGTATAGCAATTTTGGAAAAGTTAAGCGACCCACTTAGATTTTCGTTCTGTTTAATTTGACCAGTTCGTCAGTCAGATTCCTTTGGGTTCCTAAATTGTGATCGTTTTGGTTTGTTATTTTAATGAAAATCGTCACTTTTCATTGAGATTTCGACGGTTATCAGAGTACGAAGAACTTTGTTTACGTTCGCGTCGCCTGTATAGAAATATCAAAGTGAAATTTATCATGTTCCAGAATCTAAAAGACTTTTTCTACACGGTAAGATATGATGCTGGATGTCGGATTTGGATCAGTGCATCATGATGGTCGAGCCACCTTTTAGCTTAGAGGACGTTTGTAGACAGGCTCAGGTACGTAATGGTGATATTTTTTCTCAATCGCATCTTTTTGCACAACTCTTCTAGATAATTGATTGATTGATTGTGCGATTCTACAGGAAATGATAAATCAGGTTTCACGAAATCAGATAGACGTTCAAGGACAGGTTCAAGGTACTCCGAACATTACCCTGGATAACCTTTCAAGGTCAGCAGCAGTAATAAGCCAAAAAAAGGAGCAGAGTTACTCAAAGGTCAATATTCATTCCAAACTCGCAAAGCTGTACTTTGAAGAACTTTGCAAAGCCTCCCAAGGAACGCCAGATTCTGTTTTGGTAGGTTGAATAAGTAAAACTGAAGAGAAAAAAAATCAGAAACACAGCTCAAAGAATTTGATTACTAAACGATTTTCGGTTCAATACAGAATAACCTTGAAAGTGATAACGACCTACTGGGACGTTTAGTACAAAAAGACGGATTGCAAACTTTGATTGTTAATCTCTTCGCTGGTAATAAAGGTTACTCTTTAGCTGTCAGAAATAGGTAAGAAATAATTTATCATTCATTAAGTTAACTTACTTTTTTTATTTCCTTAATTATAGATGTTTGAAATGTTTATCTGAAATTAATTTGATATCATATACTAAATTTAAAATTCTACCGCTTTCGTTTCTTCTCTAGTCACAAGGGAATCCAATATGACCAAAACACATCAGTATCGGAAACTCAGCTGATGGGCTACGAACAGGGTGAAATTCTCACCTGTATCGATAATGGCCAATTACCTGCAACGCTGGCCGAACAGCTAGAAGTAAATCACTCTCATTTGTTTCATGATGGTTGTATCATTGCCGAGGTACGCGACTATCGCAAAGCTTACCCCCACAACAAACCAGATGTACATCATGTTCTTCTTAAACCCAGCACACAGGTGTGTATTGGTCGAAAACCATTGAAAAATTTCACACTCTGATACAATGTTGGTATGTAATGATAATTTCGTCCAGAGCGTCTTGTCGGATGTATCAACGCTCACCAGCGATGGTGATTGGAGTCACGAGGAGCGACTTCTATTGGAATCGCGAATAGTGGCAGCCACACAGGGGCCATTGTGTCTCGATCCTGATCCAATACCGAGCCTGGCAACGACTCGCTTGCGTCAGTCGAAAGCTCTATTGGCTGATCATCAGTTAATGCGCCAGGCCAAAAAGTTTTCACAGGTCACAGTCAACCGCAAGAGGAAACTCGAGCAGTTGGCACAGCCGGAAGGCATAACCATACAGGATCTCATGCAAACGATTCGGGCAAAACAAAAATGGCCAGTTACCGGGACAGACTGTCCACCACCTTCATTAGTTATGCCTCCTCTCCCAGCTCCAAATACTCCAGTGGACGTTCTAAGGTGAGATACTTTTATTTCTGGGTTTAAAAAAGTATGTAAGGTGTACATATATATGTATATATATATATTTTTTTTTTTAATGATATTTATAATCTTATCTTCCACAGATACGCGAAAGCTTATGAACTGCCACGGGAAACAAAAGACTGCCTTCCACAACTCATCGAAGAATACATATTAGAAACTGAAAGAGGTCAAGGACGGATTTATCATATAAAATTATCCATCCTGCAAAGACCTTCAAACTCCGAGTACCTGGGCGAACTTTTTGTAGATATCGATTATAGAGAAGGTGAAAAGAAGGGCTCGTCCTGCAGGTGAAACAAGTTTATCCATTGGATTGATCAGTTTAGAAACTTGATACACATTTTTTTATTTAATTAATGTCATTTCTGTCATCAATTCTTTTAGATTTACTTTGGGCACGCGAGCTCAAGCGAACCACTACATCCAACAATTCACGGAAATCTTTACGGAGGAGGGCAGAAAAAACGTCAAGATACAGCACGTTGTACCGGGCCAGCCTCCGCGGGTTACTTGTACTCCGGGAATGCAACGAGCTCAGCAGCAGCAACAACAACAGCTGCAACAACAACAACAACAACAACAACAGCAGCAGCAGCAAATTCCAAATGCTCAGAGGGTTCACCAACAAATAAAGGCCCAACTGGTCGCTCAACAGCTGCAACAAGCTCAGTCGCAACGTGTTGCGCAGCATATCTTATCGCGGGCTCAGGGTCAGTTGAACAACTTGACTGGTGGTCAGTTAAGCACTCTTGCGGGTCAAGTTGCCAACTCTATCAAGGCAATGTCGGAAGCGGCAGTCGTGTCCAACGCAAGGCAACACGTGCAGCAGCCAACAGTCACCAGCTTGGTCAACTGTTTGGACAGTGTGGCTCAAAACATTCCTGGTCTTGTGCAAAACGAACCCGTAACCGTGAACGTTGACCAAACCATGGCTGGTGCCTGTAACACAGTGACGCAGCGTATTGCTCCTGTGGCGGCGACAGCGGCTCCACTGGCTGGTCAGACACTAGATGGTACAACGACAGGTACCGTCACGATGGCCATTCCGGATATGGCACCGTGCAATGGCTCTCCTGGTATTTTAGTCTTCCAACAGAAACCCACGGCTGTCATTGCTCCGAGCAACTCTTCCAATGTTCCAGTATTGGTAGGCTATTTGCCAATTGGTTACAACTGTTATTATTTTACAAGCCTTTGACGTTTGAATTATTTCAACTTTCAGCAAGCACAACTGCAAGCGGGAACTTTAAATAATTTGGCCGACGCGAGCAATCACAATGACGCAGCACTCCAAAGGAACTCGAGTCAAGCTATAAATGCTCTTGCGACCTCCCTTATGAATTCTGCCCAGCAGTTTACACAGCAACAAGCAGCTGCAGCAGCAGCAGCTGCTTCCATGAACAATGCTGCTGCTGCTGCTGCTGCTGCTGTTGCAGCTCCGAAACCAAATAGCAACGCTGCAATTCTTAGCCTTCTGAACAGTAGCCCTGCCAATATGACCCAACAAAAGAATCAATCGCGTAGGATATCTTTAAGTACTGCTTCGATACCCCAACGAGTACTTAGTCACGGCAACGTGATAACCGTTCCAAGCACAACGGGACAGGTGAGTCTTTTTTTGCGATTAACTTGATAAATTATGATAAAGTAAGAAAACCAAACCAACATGTTTTAATTTTCGTTACGCAGGTTCGAGTAAGTTTTAGTTCGGCCTTAGCAGCTAATCAGTTGACGAAACAGCAACCAGTCAAGGCAACCGCAGTCAGACTGGCTCGAATGCCGGATGCCACGTCAACATTGGGCATGTCGATGCCTGGACTGTCGGCCCTACTGGCTGGCACTCCTACCGAAGATAACCCAGTACCTGGTATTACTACAGCCTCCTCGCTGTTCGAGAGGCTCACGGCATCGTCGACTAATCAGAGTAGTCAGCCGGCGAGTCCCATGACTAGTCCACCGCCCGCGACACCACCCACGCAATCCGTTCAGCAGCAGCAAACGACGAACGTTAATCTTCAAGGTGTTAACCTCGCTAGTCTACCAAATTCTATTAACGGTCTTCAAAACGTTCAGGCAAGTTTGCTATTTCTCGGGAAAAAAAAAAAAAAAAAAAAAAAAAANATAAAAAATTTTACAAAAATTTCCTCCTAAAATAATTGATTTACTTTCGAAAAATATTTCCGTATTGCATACATCTCTTAAATTTCTGTAAACTGTTTCTAAGGCTTCTTTTTGAATCATTAAAGATCCATCCAAAATAATAAAATCATCTTCTCGTAATTTTTTATTTATCATTTTTTAAATCTTAATCCACGCCTTTTATATTGTTTTAGTCTGACGAAAGTCTGACAGTTCTATAACTTGTCATACCTTTTGGAAGCAACACTAATGCTTCGCCAGTCTGATAAATTTTTTTTACCCTGATATAAATAAATATTTAGATGGTTGAAAAGTAATTTAAAAAATATATGTATTATCCTTCAACCACAGGTTTCTATTCCCGGTTTATCACAACCTATTACCATGTCTCTGAACGTCTCGGCGGCAGCTGGCGGTAATGTTGTCACGCCGACTGGCGTCATAGTTTCTCTTCCAATATCGTCGGCAACCAATACTTGTTCAACTGTATCTAGTGTAAGACTTTTCAACCTAATGTGACTTGTTTTTTTTTGATACGACCCTTTTCATCACCGAATGTATTACCTGCTGCTTTTGCAGATGGTACCTGCGACAGTTGTCACGAGTGCTGTAGCCGGAAATACATCAACAGTAGTTATAACTAATCCTGCCAATGCTCATTTATCGTTACCAATCGGTAAGACAAATCATCTATATTATTACCTGTTTTTCGTAATGTATAAGTTAATATTATAATTGTTATCGTTTAGCACAATTAATCCCTTCCGGAGTAAAAGGTTTAACCCAACAAAATATACGTAGTAATAATGCTGCTGTCACTCTCTCTCAGGTAGCGTATCTTTTTAATAAAACTCCGAATCACCTCTGACTAAGAAAAATGTTATAAATCTATTATCACGGATCCTCAGGGAGGACAGGCTATACAACTTGTTGGATCTCAAAGGTCAAGACTGGGTCAGTTGGCGCGTCAGGTTCAGTCTAATCAAGCCAAATCCTTGTCAAACCAGCTGATGGTTTCGAAAGCCGTTACGGCAAATCAGCTCGTATTATCTAGAAATAAGCAAATCCTTACTCCGATAATGGGTGAGTCATCGCATTAATTTATCGTATTATTTTTTTTATCATTTACAATCAAACAAAAAACTACAATCAAACATATTGATAAAAAACAGTAGCAGCTTCAAAGCCAATGTTGATGGCAACTCAGGCGGGCACTTCTCCATCACAGTCTGGGTTATCAGGTGTTACGAATAAGCAGACTCTACTGGCCAAGTCTCTACATGCTAGGTCTGCAACAGCTGCGACGATAGGGCAGTGCAACACTCAGGCACAGGCTCTCAACGCAGTAGCTGGTTTGTCTCAGCAACAGGTAAGGCAATGAGTCCAATTAACACGATAAATGATGAAGAAATAATTTAAATGTCATGATAAAATTGTATCTCGTGATTTGCACAGCTGCAACAGATACAGCAGTGCCTTGCCGCGCAACAAAAGGTAAACGCCTCGGCGACGGGCAGGACGACGCAGATCCAGCCACGAGGCAGCGCTGGCAACGACGACGTACTCTGAGCTATGCTCATAGACAGTGCTATTTTTCTTCTTACTACACTTCCTTGTGCTCCTCTCTGGGCCGTCGACGGGAGGAAGAGGCAAATAAATGGACTGTCGCCTCATTGTATGGCCTCGAGATTATAAATCGAATGAAGATTATCAATGAACATATTTGTATAAAGTATTTTTTTGCGAGACTCGAAACACAGTTGTTGCGTTGACTGTATTTTCGGAAAACGATTGGGATGAGTGAAAAAAAAAAGAGAGTATGAGACAAATGATTATGACGATAAAAAAAAAGTTATCGAAAATCAATTTTTCGCCTCGTTTGTTAAACTCACGTTCATTATGTGTGCGAGAAAAGGTTTTAATTATTGTAGATACATACGTGCGTATACATAAAAAAAAATATATATATATAAATATATAAATATGATATAAAATTTGTTTTATATTAAAAAGCGTAATAAATATTTCATTTTTATTTATCTTGTTTTTTTTACTCTTCTGTTACGTGTGATGTGCCCTGCATGTCGTACGTAACACTTCTATCATAATTTAAATTTTCACGGTTTGGGAGCAATACGTTCGAAACGAATATATGCACATAAGCAGGAGCAGAAGTACTTAATTAGAAAAAAAAGAAGTATAAGAGAGTGAATTTTATTTTCATATTAATGCTATCATCCAGCATCATCAGCAATATCATTTCGTACTTTGAGAATCATAAAAATGGAATTTCTCTTATGAATGCATTTGAAAAATCTAAAATAAATAAAATCATTTAAAATCTAGCGTCATTTTTGTTATAAAATATTAATTTTTTTACATTTTAATGGTAAACTTACACCACAAGTAAATGAAAATATAAATTTAACATTTTTATACAACTCTGAGATAAACGCAGTCTTTATGTTACAAAAATATATATTTATTCTCTTTGATTATTTAAAATTAATGGCGCATAGAAGAACGAGTGCTGGTTTACTCGTTCCTTCTTTTAATAGCTGAAAAATAACTTCAAACAAAGATCAAGAATTTAGAAAAGTACAACATCGTCTTAAATAATAAATCTACAGTATCTATCTTGATAAGTCCTAATACATCAAAACTATAGTTGCAAGTAAAAAATATTTGACTAACAATTGACTAAAAAGATTCTAGAGATTATTTTAAAAATTTGTCACAGTGATACTATTATCTTTACTGTTAAATTATGCTAGCTAATCTATAAAATCGCACGTATAAAAATATACTTATTTGGGTATATTTTTTAAACTGCAGCCTTTGTACAGAGTCTAAAATTTTTAGACTCGATATTGTAAAAAAAAAAAAAAAAATACTGGATATGCTTTTTTTTACTTCCATTCCGACAATTCTTTAGTTTTCAACTTAAAATAGTTTTATCGCAAAACAATCCTTTCAGTTCAGTATCAAAAATATTTCTTTTAGACTAGCTTATGTAAAACCTACTTTCACACTTTGGTCAATCGTTAAGGAAATTTGAAAGCTACGATTCGTAATCGGGATAAGCTTTTGTTTTTCCGATTCAAAATTAATTGTCCTGGATTCACGGGTTTCATCTAACGTGACTCTCGGCTGAAAAAAAAAAAAAAAAATTTCAATGAAACTGTCAAGCTTGCTCACACAGTAAAATAACTTATAAGTATTCAGAAGCATTCGACCAAAACGGTAATTAATCATCAGCTAACCATCTTGTTGAGCCATCCTCATAATGTCCCGTTTGTCGTCGAATTCGAGTGCCCTGAGTTTGTGTTCCTGATCACCATCGACGACTTCCTTAATGCTAACGTCATTGCCCTCCTCCACGTAATAGTAAGCCATCAGAGTTTCCTGTTTCATGGTAGCCTGCAATTTATAAAGACACGACCTTCACGAATTATTACGTACGAGCTAGTGTGTTCACACACGGAAAGCATTTTTGACGTCTTAAAGCTCAGAAATATTGCGACTACTAGAGGTCAGAAGCCTTCAAGCTTGTGAATGAGTAACTCTGACTTGTCTTGCTTTGGATGCTTAACTGTAACAGGCAAGATTGAGAACAGCACGCAAGCAATCAAATATTTGCAGTGCTTTCGAAATTGGATATATTACAGCTCGGCGCTAGATGGACTGTATAAGAGCGTCGAGAGTGGGAACGCCACAGCTCAGAGTTTGGCACCTGAGAGGCGAAACTTCGGGCTATATCGGAATTTTGAGTTTTGAAAACACAACTGCAGTAAACAAAAGTATTCCAATATAGTCTCATGTGTAACCTTATAATAATAAATAGTAACAAATTATGAAACGTATGATTATATAAATACATGGAATTCTATATTTATCGATAGGTTATATATACGTTGTACTGTAGTCTTTATAAAAATACGTTCGAAAAAACTTTTCACCCCCGCGAGTCAACATTCAATAAGCTATAGTTCGAAATCTCGCCTTCACTCGCTAGCCCGAAGTTTCGCCTCTTAGGTGCCAAACTCTGAGCTGTGGCGCTCTACAGTCCATCTAGCGCCGAGCTGTAATATATCCAATTTCGAAAGCACTGCAAATATTTGACCGCTTGCGTATTGTTTTCATTTTGACTCACACAGTACGGTATTCGACAGTTTCTATTCTAGAGTGTCCAGACCTGCAAAGCAACAATATTTCTTTCTGTGCATGTAATGTTGCTTGCACACGTACTTGCAAAATATTCTCGAAGGTTTCCTCAGTTGTCGGCGTCGTCAGGCTTGACATGTTTATAACGCAATTTGTTGACTGTTGGCAACTGGACCATGATTTTCTAAACATTGTCAGAGAGATAAAATCAGACATGGAAAAAAAAAATCGAAACTTTTTAAAAAGATATAATAGCGAGGGAAAAACAAAAAAAAAATCGTTACGTACGCGTCATCGTACTCGAGGGTTAAATTTACATTGGCTTTGTGCTGCTTGTAAATACATTCGTCATTAGACTCGACGCCGTAGATATCTGTACAATGAAATATGTGTATATCATGAGTGGCTCAAAAAAAAAAAAAAAATGTATATGATATATATATGTTGGAGGGAAAAAGAAAAAAAAATAGATGTATGTCAGTGCATGCGCTTACGCGTACTTGATTCATAATCGTAATCCACGATGTTCACTCTGTACTTGATAGTCGTAGGAATCGGCTGATAACAGACGTTGACGTTTGGAAAAACGAAGCTCAAATTCTCCAAAAAGTACCTTCCCATGTCCACGACGACTTTCTGTATCTTCGGGATGTTGAAGAGGTACCTGAGGAGGAGGAAGGAAAATAAACCATATCCTATATATTGCATTGCATTATTCCCATCGCCACGAGTGCAAAAAGCACAAATGTTGTTGTTGCATTCGCATATTCCGTTATCGAGCTTTTAAAGCGACCGCACGCGTTTCCCGCTTCGATTGACGTAAGCAAACGATCGGTTGGTGTGCTCGTACAATATATATGCGCTATCAGCGGCACTTGGGGAGGGACAAAGAAGAAAAAAAAAAAAAAAAAAAAAAAAAAAAAAAAAAAAAAAAAAAAAAAAAAAAAAAANCTACCCTTTTTCACATTTCTATTCAATAGCTTAATACAACACTCGCACTTCCCTACCCTTTGGAAGAGTGCCCTGTTGCTCCCCCTGGCTAAAGTACGTCACCCCTCCTCCCCATCTGACACGCGTCCCATAGCGTCTCTTTCCGAACTTTCAAAAGCATTTGAACGTATTTTATCCTCACAGCTCTCTAAATTCATCTTATCCAATAATCTACTAGATCCTCGTCAATCGGGCTTCAGGAGGGGACACAGCACTCAGACCGCTCTTCTTGGCGTAACTGAGGACATTAGAGAGGCAATAAACCGTCAGGAGGTCACCATACTAGTTCTTCTCGACTTCTCTAAAGCCTTCGACACTGTTCCCCACCTGAAGCTTCTCCACAAATTAAAAAATCTCAATCTCTCTAATAGTGCTCTAACTCTTCTCCATAGCTACCTTTCAAATCGTCGTCAAGCCATTGGGGGGGGTAACGGGGAGGCCATATCCAACTGGCGACCCGCCCTCGCGGGTGTTCCCCAGGGAAGTGTCCTTGGCCCTCTCCTTTTCTCCTTGTATATAAATGACCTTCCCGCCTCTCTCTCTTATTCTAAACATATGATCTACGCTGACGACACCCAAATTTACCTTCATTGTCCTTTTGCATCCATCAATGAGGCCATTGCCCGCCTGAATCGTGATCTTGAAGCCATTGCGGCATGGGCTCATTGTAATGGCCTAAGCCTCAATCCGCGTAAATCCAAGGCCATGATTCTCGGCAGCCTCGCTTACATCTCTCGCCTAGATCAATCATCCCTCATTCCCATTCATATCCATGGCATCGCGATCCCTGTTGTGGAGAAGGCCTTGAACCTGGGCGTTGTCTTTACCCCCTCACTCCACTGGTCTTCACAGATTAACAGGATCAACCAGAAGGTACATAACACACTCCGTTCCCTGCGATTCAATAGACATGCCCTAACTCGTACCTTACGCAAATCCCTCATCGAATCTCTGGTCTTTCCGCACCTGGACTATGCTTCATCGGTCTTCTTTCGATTGGACGTCACACGCAATTTAAAAATGCAGAGAGCCATTAATGCTTGTGTTCGCTTCGTGGCCGGCAATATTCCGAGAGATGCTCACATCACACCATTACGATTGGAACTGGGCTGGCTTTCTGCTCGACGTAGACGTGAATACCACTTGGGGTGTCTTGCCTTCAACATAATCCGCCTTCATTGCCCTACATACCTCGCTGATCGTTTTCGCTTTGCTCCCCACTCAGTCACTAGTTCCCGCACCCTTCGCCGCCCACAACCTTTGCTCATCGTCCCTCCCTCCCGCACCCGTGCTCGCGACGATTCCTTCTATATTCAAGCATCTGATCTCCTGAATTCACTTTCACCAATTAACCTTGCCGATCACTCATACTCATCATTCCAAATCCTACTCCATAATACCCTCTTGCAGCGCGACCAGAGCGAGTGGATCGAACGTGTTGAGCGGGAGGGAATTGTGCTCGCTTAGCGTAAACAGTGCTTCAACCTTGACCTCAAATTAACAGCGGACGCTCTGACGTGGTTGACCTTTCCCATCACACATAATACACGACACCATAGCCCAACTCTGACATCCTGCATCTAATGACTCCTCCTTGCACCAACCATCATTCACTTTATCTCGCCTACCTCAGCACCTAGTCCTTCACCTGCTCTCTCCCCACCTGACTCCTCTGCACATAACTCCCTCCTCCTGTCCCTCTTAATTCCCCAACCACCAACCATCCTCACTCACCACTCTCCTTTTGTTAGCCTACTCTAGCCTTCTCGCATCCCACAACCTTCTAAACGCCTTTCCTTCGCATCTCCCTTGCCCTCACATCGCAAATCAAGCTAGCTTTCTCACGCATTCAATTTACCTTGTTATATTGTTATACCTTTTATTTTATTTTTAGTTTTAAGTGGCTTACATTTATTTGCCTTGCGCTCAAGTCTGATTAACTCTTCAATTTGTAATCTCACACCTTGCTCTCTTATTGTAATTTGTTTGCACGCTACAATTTTAGCTTATTGAAATTAGTTTTAAGTCTGCTTATCTTACTGTATTATACTTTTCTGGCCAGATGGGGGTCTTCCCCAAGGCATAATAAACACTCTAAACACTCTAAACACTCTCTCTCTCTCTTTACTCCCCACTGCTATCTATGCATATATGTATATATACACTCCATTGCGTGTATTATTGTTACCCATTCTGCCTCTTCCCTTGCCACTAGCAAGTTTATATATACGGAGTAAAAAAGACACACGTGTGAGCTTATATTTTCTTTTTTTTTTATAATCCACCTCATAATAAGCATATATTATATTATGTGCTGTAACTGCAAATAAGCGCTCGTTTCGGAGTTCGTTTATTTTTCAAGGCTGTTACAACATTTCACAGAAAGCTACAGATGCGTTTGTACCCGAAGCGAATAAGGACAACATCGAATATTTATGATGTCTTGCTCGCTATAGTGTTTTAATTTCTTTTTCGCAATAGTGTGCAGAAAATTGGTGTTTTCCTCACTGATATTAGTGCGGAAAACACCTATTTTCCTCACAATTATTGCGAAATAGTAGTTTTCCTACGAGTTTGAAAAGTCTTTGTTTGCGAACCGAGAGGTTTGCGGCCCGAGCCGAAGGCAAGGTCCGTAACGAGGTTCGTAAAGGAGACTTTTCGAACGAGTATCGGAAANATAGGTATATATAGATTATACACCCATAAGGATGATTACCCTTACTTTGTGAACGTGACGTAGACGACGTCGACGGGCAAAGTGTACGGCAAACTCAGCAGCGACAGCAGCCGGACGCTCTTGTGCTTGAAGAGCCAATTGACGATACCCTTGTTGGCCGAGTCGATGGCTTCCTGAAATATCATGAGTATCGTCTCCGGGAGATTGGCCACCGACGCTTCCTGCCGAACGAAACACGATTCACACACATACGTGATTGTAATTGATTGCCCTTTTGGCGAATCGGCTCGTTATATACCTGTCTGTGCATCTTGCACTCCAAACAATCCGGGTCGTACTCCGAGCCCGGGTCCTCGATGGTCTCCGAAACGACGAAGGTCGACTGCACCGCGAGGCACCGATTGCAGTTAATCAAGTTGTTGCGAGTTAAAAATCTCAAGGCATCGTCGAAGCCCTGCTTGCACATGTTGGACAAAATCTGATGGACAATCAAATATACATATATATAAATACATCGGCAATACACGTGGTTTTAAACCCACCTATGTGAAATGTCTCTCACCTCGGGGTTGGGAGGGAACAGGACTCGGGCGAACCTGTACATGTTTTGCCGGGACAGCTCGATGCTCGTGTTGGCGAGGTTGACCTGCGGGCGATCGGTACGTAGATACAAATTATCTTAGGGGGAGAGAAAACGATAAAAAAAAAAAAAAAAAAAAAAAAAACACCATTCGTTGATGATGATGGTCTTCTTACGTGAAACAACTGCGAAGAAACGTCCCTCGGGCATATGTCGCTCTCGCCGCAAAAGGGACTGATGGTGATGGTGTTCTCGTCGAGGGTCGGCAAGTTGTCGCTGAAGCCTCCGTCCATGTATCGGATGCCGTGAAACCTCGGAGGCAGTAAGCCGCAGAAAAACGGTATGAAGGAACTCGCGAGCAGCGCCTGCAAAACGTTCATTGGGTTTGTTTTTATGTTTTTATTATACATTGTATTTTTTGAAATTACCAACCTGCACCAAATCGTCTCGGGAATTGAACTGCGAGACTATCACGTTTTTCCCGTCGTACACTCGGGTAAGGGATATGTGAAGTTTTCCACTCACGCGGGTGTGCACGTCCTCCGGCATGAGCTGGAAAACAAGTGTACAGTGTGTAACACAGGTACTTTTTGGGTATAATCTAAAAAAAAATCAAGAGACGAGGGGGGAATTAGTCCACTCACTTTTTGGAAGCTCTCCAGGAGGATGTCCTGCACGTTGAAGGAGGGCCGGAAAGGACCGAGGGAGCCCTTTCTCGCTTCTTTGGCCAATTTGAGGACATCGGCCGTCATTTCAACTGCAAAGGAAAAGAACAAAACAAATAAAAACCGCTGATCTTGCACAATTGACTGCACCACCAACCACTTTATACGAAAATAATAAACCGAGTGACGGGGGAGATACAAGTCTTTGGAAATAAATGGCACTTTTGTTAATTTGTATTTTTTTTCCCGCATGTACATGTACGTACGAATAATAATAGCAAATCATTTTTACATGGATGTTGTAATCGCGCGTTGTCGTATGTATATGTATCATAAGGGCTATTATTATTATTACTATCATCATCGAGTAGGTAGTACACACTATTATGATATACTCGGAATACATGGCATTAAAAAACACACCTATTTGATGGATAATAGCAGCGATAATTCTCAGTATGTAAGAGTAATTTATCGATGCGCCTTTTACAGCGGCAAATGTGTAATGTGTATGTAGGCATATTATTATTGACACTTTGTGGCGATTAAAATGATTAATGGGCCCCCCCCCTTTTTTTTATTCGCGTGCTTTATACATACGCACACAAGTAAATCTTCGCTAATACCTACAGATATACGAGAAACAAGTAAAATCTTGGGTTTTCATGTATACAGTCTAAACAAAAAAGGTAAACTAGGTCAAACATATACTTAGCTATGCGTACGAGCTGAATCGAAAATTGTATTTATCCATAACGTGTAGAGGAGGGGGCGAGAACCCAATTTTTTTATTTATCGTAAGCCAATCGTTTCGTTTATTATATATGTATATATTTTTTTTTTAATGTCAAATAAACAGTTTATCCGCATCCAATTAGTTATAGCGCGTGAAAATTTATCAGGAAGGCCAAGTACTGGAAAAAAAAAAAAAATAACGTTTTGCTACTTGAATGACGAACACGAAAATTCAGCGCACCAAGTTCGATAATGTTATCGGTGCACCTGTGTGCATCCCAAATTATTTAATTAGTCACGCGTAAAATTTCCCAACAAATTATCACATGCACAACAAGGGACCGAACAAACAACAAAATCGGTTGATCGGTACATGCAATATTTGTATGGACCCTTCTTACTGTTACAATTTACAATACATGTATATATATACATATGAGGATAAAGAGCGCGTGTCGCGCGCAAGACATGATGACACACACGTGTCGTCACGTATACGTATATACTTCCCCATGTAATATCAGCTGATCGCGGGCAAACGAGAACAGGCCATATCGTCAGCTGTTACACATATAATAATATGGGCGCACATCAAAGACGAGAACAGCTGAGTCAGATAAGAAACCTCCAATGTCGCGTTTATAGTATTAATTCGCTCAATGTTTTTATTGTTAAGGTATACGTATAGGTACAATTTATTTATACATTACGTAGAGTAAAGGGGGGAGAATCGGCAAGCTGTCCGATCACACGCATAATATATCGGTCATCTGCCGACCACCAAGGCACCGGGTTGTCTTATGGGCTTATTTGCAATTGTAAGCCGCGCAACTAGCTCTTATTTTATCAAAAGGAGAGCCAAAGGAAGATAACGATGATAAAAGAGCGCGGCTGACCGATGCGTAAGTATATAACCGAGAGAGGCTAGATAAGTCTTTGTTCAAGACCAATGATCTCTCTCTCTCTCTCTCGATTTTTTTTTCTTTCGTCACTCCATATAATCGTTGGAAGAGCGTATAAACGATCGCTTGCAAATATAACGCTTGCATGTACCGATCGTGTCGGGAAACAAAGAGCCCCTTATCTCCCCCCCGTGAATCTGCTTCGTTTCGCCGAAAAATCGAAAACGCCGATCTCTCCCCTACCGAGTTTGCGATCCTTTTTTTTTCCTCCTCCAATTCTAATCGTATTCCATTGAACGCGTGCGTTGGTTTAATCGTTTGTGTACACCGATTTGTTATGAAGCTGCAAGTGTAACACTAATAATAATAACAATAGGGAAAAAAACGGAGAAGCAGAGAGAGAGAGAGAGAGAGAGAGATAACTCACCCGCACGTGATTTTCAAGGAAAAGGGAGAGAAAGAGAGGGAGGAGAGAAACACGAATAACATATAAAGCAATCTACGTGTTAATTATATGCATATATGCAACGCGCGAGTTTTACGGCTGTACAGCCCACGTTTCATCAAGTATATACAATACAGTTTGTGTACTTTGTTATTGTTAATATTGTGTTGTGCTTATTCTTCATTTTGATGAAAACGTATACATTTCATGTCTCATAGGTGTACATACATATATACGCATACGATTCTCTCGGACGCGGATTACTGGTCGATAAGCCCTTCGTGCAACACTTGCGAGGTTTAACTGTTGCGTCAGGATTTTTACGATCCGCGCGACATTTAAAGCTCGTACGCAAATAGTACAATCGGCAAAGGGAGATCCTCGATGGTATATATATATTATTTCTTACCGATCCCAAAAATCGGCTTCCCATGGTCGTGGGATTCGCGCGTAGGTGGTATTGCAATACAAAATAATACAGAGCGCCAAACCATATGTAAAAAAAAAGACCACGATCAAGCATACCAGTGAAACTCGAAAATAATCGGTAGGGGACTTACCGATGGGCAGATCGCAGAGCAAGCAGCACGCCGCTATGGCCCCGGCCGAGGCGCCGCTTATCTTGTCGAGGAGCAGGTGGGGCGCGTACTGTTTGAAACAAACGGCCACTCCGACATGGTAAATGCCTAGGAAGCCACAGCCAGCGAATGACAGGTTCATGGCTGATGCATATATACGCAGGTACGGAGCTACTGCCTGCTATACTCTTAATTTTATGTCCGGCTCTACTGATCCTCGGTACTTGCCGCGCAAATGTTTTTTTTTCTTCTTCTCCTTTTTGTTTTTACTTTTGGTTTTTCAAAAAGCACTTTTTCGATTGAAATACCACGGGTGCCCGCCTGTACAGATGATTTTCGCGACTTTCAAATGTGATACCGATTTCCTCCGAGAGTCGAATCACGAGATAATGTTTTTCGCGGGAAGGGACGGGTGGGAGGAATAAAATTAAAATAAACTGTCAAACTATTCTTTATCTGCGACAAAATCGTTGAAACTTTGGGCTTTATACAACATATATATTATATCCTGAAAACGATGTGTCGTTGTTCCCCCCTCGGTTGGCTGTGGCACACTGACAACAACAATATCGGCCGATACTACTCCGGCGAATCGCGTCGAGCCTCTACAGACAGAAGTGTCTATCCTACTGTTTTCTCTCTCTCTCTCTGTCTGGTGAGTCTCGTCTGGTCGTGCTTTTGGTGTGCTCCCGCAGGTTGGTGGCTTTTTGCAATTTTACTGCTTTTGCCCTGTTCTGGTTTGTTGCAGATTTGCTCCCCGGTAGGCTCTTGTGTGATTTGAGTATCAAACTACAGGCTTTCTTTGAGAAAAATTGAGCCACGGAGAGTTAAAATCTGCAACGGAAGCATAGGAGGTTAGGACTCCACTCGCCTTCCCCCCGCCGCACCGCCCATAAACCTTACCACTGGGCCAGCTGATTGGTCGGTCGCCTCGGCGCATGCCCATCGACCATCAACGGGCCAACCTCGTTCAACGACACCTGTGCAGTGACCTGTCAACTTCACCTCTGTTGTCATTACATACAAATTTCTGCTTATCTTGGGCTTCTTGCAATTACCCACAGCCGCACTGCCGATTATTAATCACAGAGAGAATCGTCAACTCACACACCATAGACCTGCGCCTGTGCCAACCACCACCCACACTATTCAATGTGCGCATGCCTTGATTCACTGAGTACAGCGATTGCCATTTGACGCCTGCTACAAACTGTTGGTGTTTTCCCGACGGCTGCCGTGTAAAGTGCTTTGACTCCGCTACCTGCCTTGCCACGCCGCCTGCTTCAGCTACTCTACTATTACTCGTCTACCTCTACTTTTATTATATCTTTTGTAATACGCATGCATTCATGCCAAACTACTGTCTAATTTGTAATGTATGCAAACATCCTATTTTAGGGAACCACACCAGAGCCGTCTGCACGCAATGCTCAGAGACGTTCCACTCGTTCTGCTCAACAACACCTGACTTCACAAAACGCAAGCGACCATCCTGCTGCATCTCACAACAATTTCTCCACATCTCCTACTCACCTGCAATAGCGAATCTACACACAACCGTCCCCACAACACCTGCTTGTAACACTCCTCCGGCCTCGACACTTTTCCCTTCTTCCGCAACTAAACGCCTCCTATCACCCCCATCACCACTATCATCACAAATCTCTAAAGCCCCCCGATTCATCAACTTCTCAAGCACTCCAACCACATCTGACTCATCTCTCTCCCCCGACTCATCAATCATCTCTCAAATGTCGAACACCCATGCAAATGCTATTCCATCACTCCCAAATCCCACTCCACCACCGTTACCACAAGACACCCCAGACTGGTTCCGGAGTTTTTATAAGATTTACTCAGGTAATAACCATGAACTGATGTCCACAATCGGAGGCCACGAGTCTCGTCTTAGCGCTCTTGAGGCCAGGGCGGCATTGACAGATCCCTTGGAGATTCGTTTTATTGGAATCCCCGCCTCCTCTCCTGAGCAGTACAAATCACAAGTGACTAAGGTCCTCGCTGCTATAGGTCTACCAGATTGTGCCAATCTTATAATCCGAACTAGACCATGGGTTGGAAAATCACAACCGGCCCTCGCGGCCTCAATGGCCACTCCCTCAAGTAACATTACTCAGCCTCACTCGCTTGTGGCCGAATTTGCCACTGCGAGGGTTCGGGACCTGATTGTGTCCCAGTCTTATCGACTGAAGAACGTCCGGGCCCGGGATCTTTTCGGGACCGGTGGCAGTACACCTATCTTTTGTCGTCCTCTTTGGCCGGCTCACGTACACGGCCTTTTACTCAAGGCAAGAGAGGCACAACGGCGTCTTGGTTACTTGCCACCGATAGTCAGGGACTTACGTGTCTTTATGCGCCCTAGCCGCTCAGCCGATCCCATACCCATCTCTTCGATTGAAGATCTTGCCCGTCTACCTCCCCAACCTGCCCCACCCCAACAATGACTAAACACAGCTAATCACGCTCCCCCCCTTCATCAATCAACAAACTCCATCACTGTCATCCACGCCAACATAAATCGTCTCAACCATCCACATCACACACAACTCGAACTTTTAGCTGCTGACAGGTCCCCGGATGTTATTGCGGTCACTGAGACCTTTCTTACGCCAGACACGCTGGATGAGGTTGTCGGCATCCGAGGATACTCCCTGTTTCGGGTTGACAGAGCAGGGAAAGAGGGGGGTGGTGTTGGCGCCTACATTCGGGATTCCCTCAAGACAACAATTCTTGCCAGCTCGGACCCTGAATTTGATAACACACCAGAATTCCTTATCCTCGAAATAGCTGTGGCTCAGCACAGAACACTTGTGGCCATTGTCTATCGACGCCCCGCAGCATCTCTTCCACACCACTTTTTTGACATACTCTCAGATCATCTACCGGCTTACTCTAATATCATCATCACTGGTGATCTCAACATCAACATGCTCACTTCATCCTTCTCCTCTCAGTTTCTCTCCACTAAGATCTCAGAATACTCCCTTCACCTGGTTCCTTCCAATCCAACACACCATGCCTTCTACCGCAATAACCCATCGCACACCTGGATAGACATCTTTATTATAAAAGACCCAACCTCGCTAATTCGCTACCAACAGTCCACCGCCCCCTTCATAGCCGGTCATGACTGGATCGAAATCACCCTTCGTTTTCTCCATATACCAAGTATCACCAAAACTATTACGGCCCGAAACCTCAAACACATAAACTCTGAAGCACTCTCATTCCATATCACTCCGTCCCTCTCATCTCTAATCAATTCATGCACTCAACCAAACCCGCAATCTCTCGACACTCTGACTACTCTTTTCTCAACCACTATACTTGAAGCCTTTGACAGACTGGCTCCAAACAGACGGATCACCTTGTCATCGCGTAGAAAGCCGTGGGTCACTCATCAGATCAGGAACATGATGTTGGTGAGAGACAGGGCGTATCGTGAAGCCAGACGGTCTGGCCTATCTACAGACATTGAGCGCTATCGCCGCCTCCGCAACAGGGTATCGAATAGTCTCTCCACTGCAAAAAACTCCCACTTCGCTCACCTCATAAATTCATCACGAAACTCAAAAGATAAATGGACCGCCATTCGAAAACTCAACCTCACCAGTCAAAACCTTCCATCACCCACTCAGCTTTTTTCCCCGGATACTCTTATCTCTACATACTCCATCGTCCCTGCTTCTACTTCACCTCTCACTTCACTCAACTTAAATACATTACTTCGCACCCCTTCTCCTCACTCTTCGGCACCAGTCTTTCATTTCGAACCCACAACATCCGACGAAATTCTCCACACCATCACCACATCCTCATCTAAAGCAATTGGACATGATGGTATATCGAACTCAATGCTTCGCCTTACTCTCGGTTTCATCCTACCCTTTTTCACATTTCTATTCAATAGCTTAATACAACACTCGCACTTCCCTACCCTTTGGAAGAGTGCCCTGTTGCTCCCCCTGGCTAAAGTACGTCACCCCTCCTCCCCATCTGACACGCGTCCCATAGCGTCTCTTTCCGAACTTTCAAAAGCATTTGAACGTATTTTATCCTCACAGCTCTCTAAATTCATCTTATCCAATAATCTACTAGATCCTCGTCAATCGGGCTTCAGGAGGGGACACAGCACTCAGACCGCTCTTCTTGGCGTAACTGAGGACATTAGAGAGGCAATAAACCGTCAGGAGGTCACCATACTAGTTCTTCTCGACTTCTCTAAAGCCTTCGACACTGTTCCCCACCTGAAGCTTCTCCACAAATTAAAAAATCTCAATCTCTCTAATAGTGCTCTAACTCTTCTCCATAGCTACCTTTCAAATCGTCGTCAAGCCATTGGGGGGGGTAACGGGGAGGCCATATCCAACTGGCGACCCGCCCTCGCGGGTGTTCCCCAGGGAAGTGTCCTTGGCCCTCTCCTTTTCTCCTTGTATATAAATGACCTTCCCGCCTCTCTCTCTTATTCTAAACATATGATCTACGCTGACGACACCCAAATTTACCTTCATTGTCCTTTTGCATCCATCAATGAGGCCATTGCCCGCCTGAATCGTGATCTTGAAGCCATTGCGGCATGGGCTCATTGTAATGGCCTAAGCCTCAATCCGCGTAAATCCAAGGCCATGATTCTCGGCAGCCTCGCTTACATCTCTCGCCTAGATCAATCATCCCTCATTCCCATTCATATCCATGGCATCGCGATCCCTGTTGTGGAGAAGGCCTTGAACCTGGGCGTTGTCTTTACCCCCTCACTCCACTGGTCTTCACAGATTAACAGGATCAACCAGAAGGTACATAACACACTCCGTTCCCTGCGATTCAATAGACATGCCCTAACTCGTACCTTACGCAAATCCCTCATCGAATCTCTGGTCTTTCCGCACCTGGACTATGCTTCATCGGTCTTCTTTCGATTGGACGTCACACGCAATTTAAAAATGCAGAGAGCCATTAATGCTTGTGTTCGCTTCGTGGCCGGCAATATTCCGAGAGATGCTCACATCACACCATTACGATTGGAACTGGGCTGGCTTTCTGCTCGACGTAGACGTGAATACCACTTGGGGTGTCTTGCCTTCAACATAATCCGCCTTCATTGCCCTACATACCTCGCTGATCGTTTTCGCTTTGCTCCCCACTCAGTCACTAGTTCCCGCACCCTTCGCCGCCCACAACCTTTGCTCATCGTCCCTCCCTCCCGCACCCGTGCTCGCGACGATTCCTTCTATATTCAAGCATCTGATCTCCTGAATTCACTTTCACCAATTAACCTTGCCGATCACTCATACTCATCATTCCAAATCCTACTCCATAATACCCTCTTGCAGCGCGACCAGAGCGAGTGGATCGAACGTGTTGAGCGGGAGGGAATTGTGCTCGCTTAGCGTAAACAGTGCTTCAACCTTGACCTCAAATTAACAGCGGACGCTCTGACGTGGTTGACCTTTCCCATCACACATAATACACGACACCATAGCCCAACTCTGACATCCTGCATCTAATGACTCCTCCTTGCACCAACCATCATTCACTTTATCTCGCCTACCTCAGCACCTAGTCCTTCACCTGCTCTCTCCCCACCTGACTCCTCTGCACATAACTCCCTCCTCCTGTCCCTCTTAATTCCCCAACCACCAACCATCCTCACTCACCACTCTCCTTTTGTTAGCCTACTCTAGCCTTCTCGCATCCCACAACCTTCTAAACGCCTTTCCTTCGCATCTCCCTTGCCCTCACATCGCAAATCAAGCTAGCTTTCTCACGCATTCAATTTACCTTGTTATATTGTTATACCTTTTATTTTATTTTTAGTTTTAAGTGGCTTACATTTATTTGCCTTGCGCTCAAGTCTGATTAACTCTTCAATTTGTAATCTCACACCTTGCTCTCTTATTGTAATTTGTTTGCACGCTACAATTTTAGCTTATTGAAATTAGTTTTAAGTCTGCTTATCTTACTGTATTATACTTTTCTGGCCAGATGGGGGTCTTCCCCAAGGCATAATAAACACTCTAAACACTCTAAACACTCTCTCTCTCTCTTTACTCCCCACTGCTATCTATGCATATATGTATATATACACTCCATTGCGTGTATTATTGTTACCCATTCTGCCTCTTCCCTTGCCACTAGCAAGTTTATATATACGGAGTAAAAAAGACACACGTGTGAGCTTATATTTTCTTTTTTTTTTATAATCCACCTCATAATAAGCATATATTATATTATGTGCTGTAACTGCAAATAAGCGCTCGTTTCGGAGTTCGTTTATTTTTCAAGGCTGTTACAACATTTCACAGAAAGCTACAGATGCGTTTGTACCCGAAGCGAATAAGGACAACATCGAATATTTATGATGTCTTGCTCGCTATAGTGTTTTAATTTCTTTTTCGCAATAGTGTGCAGAAAATTGGTGTTTTCCTCACTGATATTAGTGCGGAAAACACCTATTTTCCTCACAATTATTGCGAAATAGTAGTTTTCCTACGAGTTTGAAAAGTCTTTGTTTGCGAACCGAGAGGTTTGCGGCCCGAGCCGAAGGCGAGGTCCGTAACGAGGTTCGTAAAGGAGACTTTTCGAACGAGTATCGGAAAACTGCTTTTTTGCCCGAGGAAGTACCAGCCTCCCAAAACCACCCGAGGGCGGAAAAAACTTGTACGCAACTCGTTCGGGACGATTTCCCGCACTCGTGGCAGGTGACGGTAACTCGTGCCGTGCGATCACGACTCGTGCGGGAAATCGTCTTTTCTAAAGACGATTTCTTAAATAACTATTTCAACACCCAGTAGTGAATAAATACAAAAAGAAGAAAACAATTTGATTGTTGTATACGATACATGGGTATATGTATATATAACGCGACAAATTGATTGATTTGATCGGCTTTAAATTTAATAGTTGCGGGTTACGCCGTTGTCACACTTGACACTTGAAAGATGTACAAAAGAAGCAAAACCTTATCGGGTGGGGAGAGAGAAAAAAACTCTCAGCTATCACTGCTACCTTGAACATGCCACTATTATTATCAGTACTTCAGTGTGTATATTAGTATTATAGAATTACTTATGCATGTCTTGTTTTTTTTTGCAGTCATAGCTCCTAAGATATGTGACAAAAAAAAATGTTGGCCCCTGCAGATGGGAGACTGCTGAAAAATGTTATGATGTGCAATTAAGTTCACTTAAGTGCTTGAAATTATTACAATCATAGAAAAAATATCATATCATCAAATTTTTAAATACTGTATGAATGTATATATGTAACTTACGTAAAAAAAGAGTACGCTATTGTATTTTAAATAAAGAAATAAATTTAAAAAATTGTTCTAAAAATCTGCAAACCATCAATATCGTAAGTTTATTAAGAAAGATTGTTTTCCGAAATCAATCGATATCTTTTTTGTGTAGGTATAGCAGTAGCTATACATGCGTTATGTAGTAAAAAATATTGTGTACAAACTGAGGATAATTCAAGGGTACTTTAGTCTGAGTTTATGAGTAATATACTTCATTTATACTAATTCAAGTGTAATTGCTGTACTTATGCCTTCTGAGAAGTAGTTTTTCCACCCCATTAACATCCACCATCCACGGCATTCACAAGCAGAGACTGACGAAAAATTTTAATTCCGCGGGCATTTGTGGTCTCAGAGAAAGCCAGGTAAGGCTAGTAATACGCGACCGTGGATTTTGTGTGTGTGCATGGACTGCATTTGGTGCGTATGCGTAACTGCGTAATACACAACACAACTTACACAACTTATAACAAAAACCGTAGTATAGAGGAAGAACAACAGAGCAATAAAACTTTTAGTAACTATACTTTCAACTTAGTGTGTCTCACTCACTCTTCTCATTCACTCTCAAACCTTAAATTGACTAATTATGTCCTGTCTCTTTGCGCTAAACCACGGTCGTACAACCGTGCGCTGAACTAACTGACAGCGACAACAGTGGTTTTTGTCCAGATTTTGTGAATCTCTGACGAAGCTAAGTGAAGGAAGGTATAGGTAACAGAGATCTTGCGAAGTTGCGAAACTTGCAAACTTGATTTTTGCAGTCAGTATCGTTAAATCATATAATACATAATTATCAAGTGCGCTCCGGTTACCCTGGATTCGGACAACTGTACCAATTTTAAACCGATGTGCTTGCTGGAGCGCCGGGATGAACACGCCGATGAACAACAGCACGGTTTACCACGCGGTCTACGTGCCCGAGGAGGATGATACATCAGGTGAGGTACCAAACAGGTCTCCATATTTCCAACCTGTTCTCGGTGGTTATACGTTTTTTTTTCAATTAAAATTCCTTATATTCGATGTTTTGCTGCAAGGTGACAATGTGCACATCTACCATGACAAACTCGAGGCCCTCAAAATCATCAAGCAGATCAAATCAAGTCGGCTCAAGAGTTTCAAGACTCTTGAGGAGGCCACCGAGTTCTCGCTCAATGGGCTCGAGTCTGTGCTGCCTAATCCACTGGCGAACTCGGTCCCGATTATCCAGGTCACCGAGGAAAAATCCAAGTTCAAGGCCCTCAAACCGCAAGATCTCACCAAATTCCGAAAGCTCGTCGACAGCGGCGACCTCGCGAAGGTCAACGAAACTATATGGGAAAATCCACGGCATCTCATTGGCAGCGGTGACACGCCAACTATACTTCAGGTAAGTGTTGTGAGTTGGTGACAATATACCTTTGGTGTACTTGATTAGATTTGGATAGTAACAATTTGAGTCATCTTTTCTTTTGCCTGCCGACAGTTTCAAAAAGCATTGCTGTATGAGTGTTTTCAAGGGAGATAGATGATAGGTATTAATACATGCTGTTTTGCTTTTTAACTACATTCTATTTCCTCTGATAATGTTCAAACAAGGTCAAACATTACCAAAATTAAAAGAGTTATAATACCTAGTAATTTGTTTTGGATTCTTCTAGTTAGAACTTTTTGATTTAACTTGGGATGATGTAATTTTTACAGGAAGGTTGTCGTTACAACGCTCTACACATAGCTGTCAAAAGTGTAAACTACGCCAGAGAAATGTGTGAACTGATATTAAATACAGTGGGTAATCCAGAATTTGTGAAACTTTATTATGGTGATGCAAATATAGACAAAAGTTATGTTGATAGAGCTAGTATTTTGCAAGATTTGTACTTGAATACACCTGACAAAGGGCTAAATGAAACTCCACTGCATTTTGCCACTAAGTACGGACATAAAGATTGTGTTAAAGCTTTGTTGTCTTATCCACAATGTTTGAAAAATCCTTTGAACAAGCATAAACAAACACCATCAGATGTAATTATTCTTTACTTTTCGTAATTCTTGTAGATAACGTATTAGTCTAATCATGAATGTGTATTTTTTAATTTAGGTAATATGTACCAGAAAATGCATAGGCGATACAAATTTGATAAATGAAATACGCTCTTTGCTAGAAGAACAATATTACGTTCCTGTTATACGCGCACAAGACAATAGTTTGATGCCCGAGGTTGGAGAACCATTTTCTCTCAATCATCCTCTAGTACGGCCGCTTTTTTTCATACTTTTTCAAAACTTTAATGTTATGGTCACATTATTATTATTATTATTATTATTATTTGGTTTTAGAAATTAAACAGTGATCCCATCAGTCCTACAGTGGAAATAAAAGCATTTGCAGGCCCTATGCTAAAAGAGCAGGCGCTTGAATTCAGAAAAAAATGGAAAACGCCACCACGAACACTTGGTACGCCAAACAAGATGAACATGTCCGGCGATTGTAACGGACTTCGAAGTCCTGGGTTAAATATATCTTCCAATCTATCGTTACGATTGCAAGATACAGAAAAAGGACTAGAAAGGGTAGGCAGAGAATTAGCTTCGGAATTTCATGTCTCTTGGAAGGAATACTGGCCATTTTTGGAAGACTTTGCCGATCTTCGGTGTGCAGAAGGTTTAAGAAAACTGGAGGAGTTTTTGAAAAATAAGTTAGAAAAGTCTAATACTACCACAGTTAATCAGAAAATCTTTCGGAGTTTTTGGAAAGAAGTATACTTTTTGTTAACTATTTTGATAGTCTTCATCAAGTACTTTGTTTACAGTAATGATGATTATTTTTGTAGACAGTACCAGAGAATAAAGTAGAGGTTGACGATATATGTGACATATTTCAATCAATGACACTAAATAACGGAACGAATACCGATAATGAGACTGAAGGTTAGAAAAAATCCAAATTTCTGCTTGAATAATTTTTATCAAATTTTTTCTATACTTCAAGATATCATGTTCACCACACCACCTTCATCTCCTCTGCGTGTAACCAACAACAACGAAAAAGATGAATCTTCTGATGATGAAATGGATCTTGCTGATGATAGTATTAATGAGGAAATCTTTCTCGAGGGGTATAAGTTTAACGATATTTATTACTTTATTTCATTTAATCAAACATTTAAACATATTTAAGAAAAGTAATTTCATTTAATTTTCCAGGAAAACTCCATCGAAAATTGATTTTGCCGTATTCACTGCCATTCCATCTGAAATAGATTTAAATGAATATCCATACACATATCGTTGGCGACACGAAATGCAATTGGCAAGCAAAAATATCAAGAGTGACAATATTTTAAGGTAAATTCAAGATTTTCAGCTTGTCCAGAATGATATCATTGTTCTTTTGATTGATGCAATGTCTAGAATAAATAACGAGATTAACTGATTTTTGCAGGACACCAAAAAATATTTTGTTTAAGAAGAAATTGTTTCTAGAGGAAACGTTATAAAAATCGAACGAATCCGTGTGTGCTTCCTGTGTACAGCAGCCAAGTCAGATTGTAACTTGGTATTGAGAGTATGCAGTATTTTTTTATTTCATAAATGTCTTGTCAATGTTATAACAAACTTTAAAGTTTGTCAAGTCATATTGTCTTTCATCAAACATAAAAATATGTCAGAGTATCTGCTATAATTCACTGACGTTTAAATACAATTAAAAAGTTGCATGGAAGTTGATTTTCAAGAGGTCCAAAGTATATTTTATAAAATGAAACTGCTAACTTAAAACAAGATTGTCTATTTTCTTACTCGTTTTTATACCAAGTTGAAAAAAAAAAAAAAATTCTTAATGTTGAAAAAAAACAGAGGATTTAACTTTATTATTGTAACTATTAATATTAATTAAGAGATGTAAGATTATTCTATAAGACAAAATATGTGTATATATGTGTGTAAACAGAAAATTGAATAGCTCACTGATCGTGTATTGAACGCTATTTAAATTTTTCACCAAGTCATAAAAAGCAAAGAAGTGAATAAAAAGATAATTTCTCAATTAAAGTTTTCATAATTAATATTTATTTTATTTTGCAGTCCCTTTGTGAATAAACTAAATATCCTTAAAAAATCGATATATACTCAACGCAATAAGTGTCTCATTAATACGTTGTCACACAAAGTTAGAGAATACTTGGTTTGCTATTTTCTTGCATTGGAATTATTTTAGTATAGTTTCTTTTCTGAATTTTTTTACACACGCCTACGTACATCGTTAATACACTGCTCTTGACAATAGCTAGTGAAAGAGAAATCAAGCCTTCAGTTCGGGTGGCGGATTCTGTTTCAGCTGTAAAATGATGGAGCGCATTCTAGAGACGTCTTTTGAGGTTCGCGACGATTTTGGATTGAAGTCGCACAACTTGGCAATGCGTTCCCACTCGGTCCCCGGCTCGATCTCGTCAGCTTCGGCAACAAATTGTTTCTCGGCATTCCTAGCAGATAGAAATAAAAGTGTTTCGTAGCAAACAAGATGCTTTTTTACGTTTATCATGCACCTGGGACTTTTAACTGTGCATTCAATCATCTAGCATGTTTCAAAGGGGTGTGTCGAGTAAAAAAAAAAAAAAAAAAAAAGATAACTAGAATGTGTATATTTCTCACACATCCCTTTAACATATCTAATGTGCTTGCTCTCTATCTCACTACTTGAGCAGCTTCAGATGCAGAATTTAAATTCATGCAATTCATGACTTTAACATTATTGTTACATTTTGATTATAAATTTTCATTTTCTAATAACAACTTGTAGAAGCAGAGAAAGACACTGTTGTGTATAAAAGTGTATGAATTTGTAAGTCAAAGTGTCCAAGTTGCATGAATCTGCGGTCGTATTCTGTAATTATTTATGATTTAAAAATAAAATAATTCAAGAAATCAATCAAATCACTAAATAATAGTATAATGTAAATATATCTTCAGTAGTACAACCTAAATTTCATTTTTTTTAATTCTAAATTTCAAGTCAACTGGAACATGTCAAGTATAGTTTAGTTCACAACTATTTTAATATTTGTGTGTGTGCAGGTGTGAGCAAGTGTTGTTAAATTTTCAATCACTTAAGCTTTTCATATAAATGTTCTGGTAAGTGCTTAGCTTATTTCATGCTTTATCATTTACCTTGAGCTTAGAATTTACAGTGTTATGATTCAAGTAAAAAATGTTTTATTCCATTATTAACTTGCTAACTTAGTTTTTGAAGAGTTAAACATTTAAAGTTAAACTTTAGTTAAACGTTTTTGGTTAAACTTTTTCTATTCAAACCGTACTTGTCACTCCAGTCAGTCTGAAATTTACTAATCGCGTACGTTTACTCTAGTTGAGGGGTTGAAATACTCTTCTGATACTGGTGACAAAGCATTATTCTAAATTATTTAGCAAGCAACATTAATCTAACATTAAACATCGAGAAAGGATAATTCAAACATAATGCTATAACTTTAAGAAAACTTAAGAACATACATAACAATGCTAAAATGTGTAAAATGTAACATAAAGTAATGAAACTTTTTTTGTAAGCACAGAGCTTTTTTATTTGCATTATTTAGCAAACATGCATGTATTCTAGTATATTATGTTTATTCAACTTACTTGGCTGATTCCCTAAGAAGCAAAATCAAAATGATAGATTCAGAGTTCAATACACTTGACAAAATACGTATATTTTGTCTTTTTTTCGCGCAAAAAAAAAATCAGTATATATTTATGTATAACAAAATTTAAAAAAACACAAAAAAAAAAAACAAAAAGAAATAACATGATTAACAAATTCACCTGTTAGTAGCTTTTGTTTTACTAATTGCCTCTGCATGATGTTTATACCATTCTTCTAATTCCATCTTGGCAGCTTCTTTCCACTCTTCTTTTTTCTTTTCTTCCTCTAAATCTGTTTAATAACGAATGAATAGAGTAAAAAAAAAAAAAAAAAAACTATCTACAGAAGTACGTAATTCAAACTATATCTACCTTTTTGCTCTAGTATTGCTTTTTGTTCTTCTCTCCACTTTTTGATTTTTTCTGGCTCTTCTTTCATAGGCATAGGTGGCATGGGGGTTGGATCCTCTAAATTATTGAGCAAATGAAAGTAAGTATCATCGTAGGGCAGTTTGGTTATTTATTGGGATAATCAATAAAAAATTAATCTTGCCATCGACTATTGTTGGTTGTTGGTCAATAGTGTTGATCATCTCAAAGCTTCCACTATTCTCTTCAGCTTTCACTGTAGTCGTCATACCATCTTCAGAGAATCAGAGAGTTATCGAAAGTAAGTAGCACTAACATCCAGAGAAAGGAGGTAAAGAAAAATACACCAACCTTCAATCGGAGCAGCAGCTGCTGCCGGAATCTCAACTTCTAGCCCAGCCAACTGATCCTGTTCCCTGGCTAGGAACTCCGCAGCTGGATCGACCTCCAAGTCGTTGGTTACAAAGTTATCTCCAAAGGTCTCCATATTATTCCCGACGATCTATGTCGGCGAAAATATTAAGCAGCACTAATTATTTGTCAGGATTGATATGTATAGTTAAATGACAGCGTTCTGTTTTCAAAGTACGTAAAGCCCGCAGAGGTTAGATGAGTCAGATCTGGTCAGATTGACTGAACCGAAGGCGGTGACACCCACTACTTTGTGACGGCCAATTCACGGCAGTTCACGGAGGTGAACTGGCGAAACTGCAGCAAAGCAGAACCGTAAAGAATAGCATTGCCTAGTATATCTATATGTACATATATGGAATATAGCTTCGTTGACTTCGACTTAACTTAACTCACGTACTCTATAGAGTATACTTCCATACTCACGCATTAAGTACTGTCAAACAGTTCCCTCGTTCCCTGTACATTTCTTTCTGCTATTCTTTGCCACCATAAATAGGCCCTTATATATATTATACGTACCCAATTCTTAAAGAAAACAATTATTTCTACATAAATATGATACCGATCGACAGATCACCGATACACCGATTGACGATGAGTGATGACACGAATTTTGAACACAAAACATACATGAACACTGTTGAACAGTTCTTGAAGTTTCGTAGCGCAGCAAATCACCGATCATACCGAATAAAGGTTTTTTTTATGTCACATAGTATTACATTTTTAGCTTTTATTCTTGTTTTCGTTTTTTTTATTTCTTGTATTTGTAATACTTTGTAACTATCAGCCTAATTTTCGAAATCATTTTGATTATTTTTAAACCATTATACCTTTTGCGTTTCATATATTTTTCATGGCATTATTTTATGCTACATCTTGTTTGTTAAATTATCGTTTTTTTCTGTGTATACTCTCTACTCCTTGATGAAAATAAATAAAGTTTCTTCAACAGTCCGAGGCGTGTCAAGCTATAAATATAGTTAGACATGGTTAATCATACCTACCAGGGGTCGTCAATTTATACGCTTCCAAGCTAAAGCCCCGAAAAAAGTCCTCACTGCAAATTGACTTGGGATTTATACAGAGTACTTAGCAGTTGCAGCTATTGAATGTCATTGTGTTTTATAATGTTGGTCGTCAAATGTCAACTAGTGCCATCGTTTGACACATGCGAGATAGACCGTTAATTACACTATTATTTTATAGCTCTCATGCTGTCAACAATACCTTCAATTCTGTTAAAATAGGAAAATATGTTTCTTTTTTTCAATATGACTACTTGCATAGTGCATAAAGAGAATTATCGGATTTCTTGAAGAGAATACTTTTTATTCAACTGTATCTATATATTTTTATATTTATTATATCACATCTTTGTTTTGTTTGTTTTTTTTTTGACAAAAATATAAATATAAAATTTCTAAACAACGTAGAGCTGATCAAAAGTTGTCAAATCTGTTTTCATGTATGTACTTACACTGATTATTTGAATATTTATGCAATAAGGTTATTCATAAGTGAGTAGAGAAAATTATTTTTCCAAGAACAAATTTAGGTTTTAGCGATTATAAACTCAATCATTTTTACCAGCCATAGAGTATAATTATGCACTATGTGAATTCGTAGAAAAGTGAATTGTTAATGTTAACTTTGTATCCTTCCTTTATTAGCTCTTCTGAGAGTAAATGCTTATAGTATGACAATTAGCATTTTTTAATTTTTTTAACATCAAGTTTCATAAGACGTCACGTATGAACGAAATTAAAATTTCTTAATTCCACAGTTTTTACTTTAGTTCAGTCATTGGGAGGTATTTAGAAAAAAGAATGTCAATCTGATTGAATCGTGTTAAAAACATCCAGTGTATGTACATTTACATAATTTCTGCATAATATTTCGACAAGTTTGACAAATTGTATCATCTTATCATTATAAGTTATAACCAAGTTTTATTCCTTTCATGAATTTTTACATCTGTTTTGCTACACGAAATAAAGGCTATCGCTTGAAGGCACTAGAAACACGATTACTTAATATAGCAAAACATATTTGCTTACGGATTTTTAAAAAGAAGATGTTTCAAGATAACTTTAAAACAACTGTTGCTTACTTGTGCAACTTTTTTTCTTAATGATTTAAAAATAGTACCTTCATTACTAAAATCAAAGTTCGATTACTTAAAGACGATAACAACAGTGTGAAATCCACGTAGAGAAGAATCTCTAAAGATCAAGAGCCTCTAAAGCAAACATTGAACAAACAAAACACGCATAAAAGTCTTATCTACCCAAGTATCGAACTCGATCGGCTAGAATGAATTGGTTTTTTTTTTTTTTTTTTTTTTTTACAAAGATTCTGAGCTTTGTGAAAATACAGTACGCAGACTGATCATCGCAATGTATTTTTTTTATCAGAAATCGTGTCATATAAAGTAATAAAATTTATAAAAATAGAAACCCGGAAGACTCGCAAATTTTAATAAGGAAGAAAAATTAGTGAAAAACATTTGTTTGCCCTTTATGAAAATGCATCTCTTATGTTTTCGAATCACCTGCTTACGTGTGTCCACAACGCGTATGTATAAGTTGTCGCATGCACACGCTGATGCAGAAGTTATTTGAACAAGAGCGACCTGATAAATCGGAATTTTTTTGTTTTGTTTATTTTGCATTCGCATATGAAGGTATAATTATTTATATAAATAGCAAACTAAACAAACTAAGATTTCTTTTTTTTTTTTTTTTTTTTTTTTTTTTTTTCTTTCCAACTTACGACAGAAAATCTTAATAGTAAAATATCTACAAAAAATGTGTGTACAAAAACACCATCAACGCTTTAATTCTGGAGCGTGATGTTTCACTGTTTTTACTTCCCATCGCTCGTTGACTGCGAAGCGGCAGTAGCTGGTAAAAAAAACGTAAGGGTTTTTTTACATTACAATTATTCTGAATGTTTGGCGAACGTGTAGCGCGCTCTACCTAATACTGTTGCCTTGTCGTTTTCACTAGCACAATTGAAATTGTGTACGACACCGTTATATTCATTCGCACACTTATTTTCCCTATTAGAGCGTATAGGCACACACCTTGTTTAACAAAGTCATTTGTTTATTTATTAAAAATACAGTATATAAAACATCATTTAACTTGGAAGAAATGTTGACATGACAAGTATAAAAATAGACACTAGGTCTGTATGTATTTCTATCAATAACCAAATAACATTTTTCATTGTTTAGATTAATAATAAATACCATCTTTTTACTAGACAAACTGTTTCAGTAGTTTTAATCAGACCACATAAGTTATCAATGATATTTTCGAAGTCATTATTACGTAACAAATTTAATCGCATTTTATACACTAGAATTTTAATGCAAACATTACCTCTGATAACAATCAAAGGAGAAAAATATGCAATAAAATTCATCAAGTTATGTCAGTTATATTTTTTTTACCAGAGACATTTAAAACACTCGTTCGATCGCTCTTAATTTCTCTAATTCTTTTGAGCTTTATGAAACTGGAGGAACTTAGTACGAAAAAAAAAAAATTCGTTGTAACAATGATAAGTTTACAACAAGATGTGTGTACGCGCAGACGACTTCATGCTCGCATGCACACACTTTCTCTTTCTCTCTTTACGACTCTCATTTACTCTTTTTTATTTTTGTAGCGTTTCACGTAAAGACTCGATTAGTCAAATCTTTCAAGTAACATGAAAAAAATCGGGGAAATGTGTATATACGTGAAAAGTATGCAAGAATTAAACTATGGATCGACGGAGGAAAATTATAGTAACAATAATAAAAATGAATTCGACACTTCACAAAAAGTCCAAGAGCTGTAATTTTTTTGTTTTTTTAAGAATAGTTTCAGATCAATTTCTGAAGCTCAAAGTAGGAAGGGTGAAAAAGAACACATTGCTGTCGATGTTTCCTTTTTCAACGTAAGCGGCTGCTTTTCTCAAACATTCTTTTTCATTTTCAGATGCAATGTCAGATTTTTTTTTTTAATTATCATACGAAAATATCCGTTCATGAATTATTTTTGAAAATACCTTTATTTTAAACGGTGCTCTTGGACCTGAAAGGAAACGAATGAACGAATGCAAATTAATATTCCTCACGCGTGTTTTATGTATATTTATACACAAGACAAAGAGAGACGCGTACGTGTGCAAGAGTTACATAGCCAGGGACTATTTCAAGATTTGAACCTCTCTTTCTCGTGATCATCAGGCACGCGTGAGACTCGCTCTCTCTCTCTTTTTATACTATCTCACTTCTACCCTACATAATCTATACTCATAAATTATAAATATTAGGATCGAGCACGCGTTTACTGCTAATGGCGAGTCTCGTTGATCGTTTTGATGCCTTGCAGTTGCTTTTGTTGCTGTTGCTTCTTTAATTTTTTGTCACTTATCGCCTTGTCTTTTTGTGGATCATCCCACGATTGCCGCTCTCCCGAAGCAAATATTATGTAGAAAGTCGCACAGAATACGTAGACGACGGCACACAATAGAAATACTATCCTCCAATTGGCTTGAGAAGGCTGTAACAAGAAGTACAGAGTGTTGTTTATATATTAATGATAGAGAAGAAATTAGAAAAAAAGAGAGTTGAAGCTGAGGTAGGGAAAAGACGGAAGAGAATTACGCCCACGTGGTTTGACGCTTGTTGCACTTTAATAATAGCATCAATGAGTACATGCGCTACAATGTAAGGCTATAGGTATCACGCTAGTCCTCTTGATTGACTTTCAAACTCTGAGATGTTTTTAAGCACATCTTAGGCACGTATTTTTAATTTAAAAAAGAAGTGGCGCGTGTGGAAACTATGTATGAATGAAGATTGCAAATGCACGTAATGAAAAAATTGGATTTATTATTGATTCGTTCATACTTCAGAATTCAAGTTTTTAGTTCAATTAAAAATAATTATACCCTTTGGGTTTTCAAAAAATTACAAACTCACCTGATCATGGATGATGTATCCGGCAGTAATGGGCGCAAGCAGTCCCGCTAAATTAGCCAAGCAGTTGGTGAAAGACATAAGAACACCGGCGAAGCGCGGTGAAATATCAAGGTGATTGACTTTAAAGCCTGAGTAAATACCGCCATTGAGACCAACGCCAACGGTAAGCAAAAAAACGGTAAGCGTCGGATTACAGCCAGTGTAGGAGGCGGCGACGAGAGCGATTGCTGGACAATACTGGCCGATGCTGTTGATGACTTTGCGCGTGATGCTGTGGCTAATGTGCTTCTTCGAGATCATCCAATCGGCCACGTGTGAGATAAACATTGAGAAGATCCACATGGCTAGGTAAGGCAGTGCTGATACCGTACCGTTCTAAAATTATTGGAAAATTGAAAGTACGCGCTGTCAAGCTTTGTTGCCGCTTTTGTTTTCACATTCCATAACGACTACGTCCTTAGAAGCTTATCTTATATAACAAAGTGTCGTTCAAGCTCTCAATATCATACAGTATGGCATTGTACATCACTATAATGATGTATACTTGTTAACTAAGAGGGTAATTTATAAGCTGATCCATGACGCGCAAAAATTGGTTACTTAAACATTTTAACAAGAAGATTGTACTATATTGATGAATAATGTTACAGTCGTAATAGCAATTCATTTTAAAAATTATATTGCTTTGATTGGTCGATCCAATGCGATAAATCGTTTTTCAGGAATTTAAATTAAAAAATTCAATGAGTCAATGCATCAATCAAGTGTCACTTTGTTGTATTCAAGTTTTGGGATTTATTGTTTGGAATATCAGTTTTGTGCTGTTGTAGGGATGAGTAAAATAATTTTTTAAACAAATACATCAAAAACTTACGGATGCTATTTTAAACCGAAGGATTTGTTTCATGTAAGTTGGCAGCTCAGTCATGAGGGTCTCGTAACCATAATTATGACCCATGTGAGCAAGCAAAATTGCGTAGAAAGGCATCGAGGTGAAGATGGACTTCCATGGCACAGGTGGCGACTGTTGACAAAAACGAAGCAGAGAAAAATCCACGATTAATCATTTCTTTGATAAAACGAAACATATGCAACATGATTACGTAATCATTATTATAATTATTATTAATTTCAACATAACGGTTTGTTTTAAAAATAATCCACCTCGTTCGATTGTCAGTCTGTTGATGGGGAAGTGGATCTCTGAAACATTGATTACTTGTATGATAACGATTAATTACCGACGCGCCAGCTGTACCCCAGAGCGAGCTGATAATGTACTTTCTTTCATCATCTTTGATGTTGGGATCGCTCTCCGGATCTTCCGACACCATGAACAGGAACGCAATACACCAGATTGTCCCTATGGTTCCGAATACGTAGAAAATCGATGGCCACCCATCAGCAAAACCATACTTGGACAGTAGACCACTAAGCGGCATGGATATGACTGTTCCAAACTGGGCACCTGAAACAATTCATGCAAGATTTTTCGTCAATATTTACAGAAAATTGGAAAATATGTTTAGGCAGGTGTTTTAAATGTTTTTTCTTTGCCCTGTATTAATAATGTCAAAACACTCACCGGCATAGACAAAGGCACCCATTCGGCTTCTCTCGTTAGGTGGTATCCACTTGGCCAGCATAGCATGCGTACAAGGCACAATGGGACCCTGCAATAGGGATAATCCATTCCTAGGGAGAGGAAATACAGCCGAACAATCAAAAAAAGCGTTCACACACGCATCTCAAGTTCGCTTTGTTTTCCTTTATTTGTTTTGATTTTCATTTTTTTTTTTTTTTTTTTTTTTTTGTTTGTTTTTCATATTTATGGACAATAAATTGTCACATTATTATGTATATGTATGTATGTATGTAATGATAATATATTGTCTTACTCTGTGACTTTTCATTTCTTTATTTCGTTCAACAACTCATTTAGAGAGCCACACTCAAGTACTCAACTCGCTATCTTTTTGATAAAAAAAAAAAAAAACAGAGAGATACACATGTAATAGGTAATATTTGCATGTATGAGAGAAATTCAAATTCAATCAAATATATGGATGCACGATAGAAGGAAAAGAGAGAGGGACCGAAAAAAGGTACTTACCTCGCCGAGTCCTTGAATGAAACGTACGAGCATGAGCGGAAAGAAACCGCCCTTTTGTGCGGATAGTGGCACGAGTAGACCGAACAGAGAGTTGATCAGCATGCCCACGCCGAGGAAGTACTTGGAGCCGAATCTCTTGGCCAGTATGCCAAAGGGAATCTGGGTAATGACGTAGCCGTAAAAGAAGGAGCTGAGCAGGTAGCCCTGCATCTTGCTGTTCCAGACGTATTCGCCGTCCGTCTCGTGACTATCGTCGTCATCGTTGGTTGCGTTCACCGTGCACTCTTCCGAGTACGGGGTGGTCTCGTTCGGGTTGAAGATGGCCGTGTGGTTGACCATTGCCACTATCGCCACCGACATGTTGGTACGCATCACGTAGGCATTCGCCATGCCCAGGAAGAGCATAGCCGTGACCATGTGACGCTTGCCCCACCATCCTGCAACATAAAAGAAACAACAATTTTATTATTATTTTGCATTTTGTGGCTTACTTATTATTACCCTTTTCATTTCTTAATATCATTTTTTAAAATTAATTAAAATTAACATTGAAGGGCATAACATGAGAGCTTTCCCGCGTGCAAGCTCTACTGCTGGGATAAGAAGGGGGGGGGACAGGAGACGCGCCAAGGTCACTCTCGCACTACTCGGCTTGGCCGGCTTCCATCGTGGATAGATAGAGCATCTTCAGTTAGAGATAAAAGTCGTATGATGTTTTTTCAAGCGGGTGTGCCAATACTTACTTTTACAGATACAAGGTGAACAGTGGGACGCAAACGACAGATTGTTAAAAAAAAAAAATGTAAATAAATAAATAAATAAATTAATGCGCAATGTACGCTTTTCCTTTCATGTTACACTGTTCTCTTCCTTTTAGATGTTTGGGTTCTGGCGATCTAACGAAATCGTCGATTAAACCAAAATCAAGATAAATCGGCTGCTCCGGTTTTTTTTATCTTTCGAGAGGATCGATCTTTGGTATAGACTTCGTTTCGCATGAAAAACTTTTGCAAAAAATAAAAGAGGTGAGTATAAACGAGACATACTGATCAGAACCCAAAGTCGTCCTTGAGCTACAAGTGCGGGTTCAAAGTTCGAGGCCGGGGAAGTGCAACAAGTATATGTATATATATGCAGACGCTCGGCGGCAGGAGTAGCCGGGCGGCCGCCGCTGCTACAGCGCGAGCACGTGGCCAACGGCTGATAATACACATATATACGGCGACGTTCGTGGAGTGCACGTGTGTTAAGTTTAATAAGACACGAGACATGGGACATGGTTAACTTCCTTTTCTCCGACACCAATGGTCACAATGCGCCCGCGCTTCTCGTAAATTCTCCCTGTTATACCTGAGTGTATGGATATATACATGTATATCGTCGTAGCCTTTCCGGAATTTCCATCCCGCGAGCAATTCATCAGTATTCAAACTGTATAAGTAAATAACTGGTGCGTTGAGCACGTTCTTTACACCTACTTGCCACTCGATTTACGATTTGTAACATTGCATTACCATTTATTGAAGGTACCGTATGAAAGAAGAAAAATTTAGTAATAATTATGCGCAAGGGTTGCGTGATGTACCAGAGTACAGAAACCACATTATCATCGTGCGCATACGAGATCTTTGAACTTGCAAGGCGCACGTGCGAGGTCGATGTTGAAGGAAGGACGTCGCTGTTGCCGATGGTACATACTTATACCTGCCTACTTATTATGAAAATTAAAAGGAGCATAGTATGTGAGAGGGTCGTAAACGTATAATTATTTTATCTGTAACGTGTTAATGTACAGGAAAAGAAGCGGCGGATGCGCGTGTGCGGCATCAGGTTCGAAAGCGAGTCAACAAGTCAGGAAGGAAGGGAAGAAGAAAATGAGGGAGTGTATACGTGTAGGTATATAGAGAGGGAGAGCGCTCGTTAAAGGCGAAAGGTCGGGGCTTTAAAAATAGTCACGTGTATAAGTATGCGGCGCGCCTCTCCGATGATCCCTCGACCGCAGGTGATGTATTTATACGATAAGCGTGTACCTATACGCAACGTGTAATGTTCTGTGTCGCACTTCCAGTGCCGTGTATATATACAACTGGCTCTCCGGCTCGATGGCGCGAAATGGCTGAAAAGCCGTACGAGCGTGTGTGTCCACGCGTGCGTGTATATTATTTTCCGCTTCTCGACGAGCACAATAATTGGTGAGTATGAGTGTATAAAAGTAAAGTTTAGTCGAGAGCGACGAGGTGTATAAACGTTAAAATGGCTGTTTTGATGTGTATACCTTTGGGCTTGCAGTACTCGGGCGCCGCTTGGATGCGGTCGTTCTCGTCGAGGCCCGGCTGCTCCCACACCAGCACGTGCTGCTGCTGCTGTTTTCCATTGCTGCTCATCCTACGTCCACACGCGTCAACGAAAAACGCAATAAAGTGCTACTTTACCGCGCTGCTCTATCACGCACGAGGGTGCGGGGTGGTCGTAGCCGAGCTTTATACCCCGAGAGTTACTATATACTTTTAACGAGCGCACCGAGTGATTACGGGTACTGAACTTTGGCTCGAAGGCGCACTAGGTACCGGCGCCGGGAACCAGCGCTGCACTAAAAAAACCCGTCTGCGTCTGCGTCTGCTCCGCTGGCTGGCGCGCGATACACTATTTGCCACCCGTGCATGGTTATAAGCTCTCTTTTTCTCTCTCTCTTTCTTTGTTCTTCTTCTTTCTCCCTTTTCAACTCTTCGTCGCCGCGTGGTCGTCGTCGTTGTCGTTGCTTGCAACATTATATATGTATATTATGTATGTTCGATTTAACGCGTTATGTAGCCGTTGTTGGTGGAACGAAGAGGAAAAAAAAAAAAAAAAAATACAGAGAGAGAGAGAGAGCAAAATTGCGGGCTTACGAGACGCGAAAATGTGCCGATAAATGTGATGTGTATAGGTAAGTACAGTTGGGAGAAACAGAGGTAGTACTTTTAGAATAGAATTACGAATACTCTGTTCGTTATCCTGCTTGTTATAATGTACCTATAATAAGCGCTCAGCAAAAACCGCACAACCTGCACATTTTTGTTAAAGGTACATATTATTTTGTTCCGCGCGTATACGCATTACAACCTGTGTGATATAAATAATCTACCGCATTTTTTGTTGAGCGTTGTATGTATGTTGTACATATTATATTCTCTGCAGAAGTTGTGTGGGCAGTTCGCAGGGGAAAACCCGATAAAGAGAAAAAAGCTCTCTCCTGAGAACAAGTAGTGACTCACTATACTAGTGAGCAGAGAGAAAGCACGTGCGCGAAACCACACTTATATTACGTAATACACGTGTATATGTGTCTTTGTCGCACGCAGCTTGAAGAAGAATTAGAAGAGGATGAGAGACAGATTCACAGACATCAGACAGAACAGACGCAGCATATAAGTATAGCCGATGCAGACAACGAATTCACAAGCAGAGGGCAATCGAATTGCGCGCGCAACTTTGGTAAAGCGGAAGCGGGAGTTTTCTTTTTTTTTCTATCGGTAAAAGCGTACATACATACACGTTGGTAATAATGGTAATATACCAAATTGAAGATTTTAGAAAAAAAGCTTGCCTTTGGAAAAAGATTACGATAATTGTCGTCAAAGTAAACAACTACTACTCACGCGCGCAACGAAACACGCGGTTTCGCCGTGACGCGTAACCATATGAAACTATAGAAAAAAAACATTATAAAGCTTTTTGAACTACTGAACTACTGTAGGTAATATACAGCACGTGATGACAAACGCGAGCGATACAGCAGTGTATACACATGCAGGAGCTTGCGGACTTTCCGCTTGTAATTTTACAACAGCGACCGCGTCTATTATTAGCCTTCTGGTCATGCCATTATTTTAATTTTTTCCTCTTCGTTTTTATTTATAACTCTCTCCCGACACGCCGCGTATAGGTACTTATCACGCAGCATACTTACTCGGTCTTCTATACAACACGGACTGTACTGTCGATTGTGTGGGTGTGTCGTTCGTTACTTTTTGAGAGATCCTTGTTGACGGGCTGTAAGTCATAAATTTTGGACGTGTACGTAGAAAAAAAAAAAAAAAAATGAAGGAGGAAAAACAATATGTTCAGCGAACGATGCGAAGAGAGAGAGAGAGAAAATTTAGCGCAAATATTTGCCGAGTAACGAAAATCGTGACGTGACTTTGAGCGCGAGGTGTACTCTCGATATCGATGATTGTGATTCATCGGAAATTTCACTCCAACCAATTCTTTTATCTTATTCCGTTATGATGATGACGCGGTAGACCATCAAAGTATTCACACAATATGTGTATGTATGTGTCGTGGAAAGCAGAGAAAACTCACCTCACGTATGTAACGTATCGCACAGTCGAGGCGGGAAAAGGAAGTCGCTATGACGACGAAAGAGAAATTTGAAGTTAGGAGTTGATGAAGCTCGGAGACCGAGCCAATTTGTTTAAAAGCGTTGATGGTAAAACGAGAGGGAGATATAGTTTTTTTTTTTTTTTTAATGCTCTTTTTCGAGTATTTTAATTAACACTCGTGTATGATGACACACGGAAGTTGCGCAATCGACTATTCGACATTTTCGTAAGCGTCACGTAACTTTTGATGAATTACATATGGAATTTCGGGGTCTGGTAAAACATATATACTTGCAATGGAAAATCTGTAACGACTGTGCAACAAAGAGCATCTCATTTAACGATCAACAGCTCACATGTACGTGTAGGGATATAAATAAAGAGATATATATATATATATATTTTTTTGTTGCAGGCCATCACGTGCGAGGGGAGTATGATAATAACAATCGCGCGAAGACACACTTATACATTCAAGTATTAGCGATGATTCGAACTGATGAGTCGGACGAAGATAATATCAAGACGATTACGAGCCGTTGGTTGCTTCACGTATCCACTCCAAAAGTCCGTAAATACAATTATACGTGAATTGAAGTTCAACGTTATTTGTGTATGCATGTATTGTATGTATTAAACTTTAGACGCGCAACGAATTAAAATAATATATTTATAAACGATCGACGCGGTGCCAAAAACGGCTTCGACGGTAGACCGGTATAATATACCCGCTATCCAATTTCAAAAAGATAATGAATCGTGAGAAATTTGCTTCTAGCTTCGAGTTTTTTTTTTTTCAATCATCCAGCATTGAGCTCGATGCGTTTTTAAATACATTTCTCATTAACGTTACAGTGACACCGCTGCGGGCAAGATGAAAGAAAATCCAAAACTATTCGAGAGAGAGAGAGAGAGAGAGAGAGAGGGAGAGTTCATCGGCGCCGACGACGGTACTTGAATTGAGCAAGGCTTCCTGGCACATTTTTCCGGCTACTAGCGGCGTCTCATGACGTATATACGCCCCGCTCTAATAATATACGACCAAAGTGAGCTTTGCGGGCGGTAACTTTGAAACCACGAGTGCACGTATATTGTCTGTTTATTTAATTCACGCTCGCATACGTATACATCTTTAAAGGCTTATCATCTGTACAATCGTCAATTACAACTAGATGCTTATGATATCCTTTTGTTTTTTAGGTGATATGCGATCTGGTTTTCGTTCACTCACGGGGTGCCTCGTATCTAAAAACATCCACACACGTGCACATCGTGGCTTATTACACGTTGCGACTTTATAATTTCTCTGCGCGGCTACGTAGGTAGAAGCGATGTCGTACGAATCTCCACAAGTGCCTGAACTGATTCAAACGTGGATATTATGCGCTCCATTAGAGCCTATTACGTTTGTCGCGTATAACATACACCCAAGTATGGCTAAGTGCGCGCGTCACGATAAACAAGAGGACGAAGGAAACTTTGCGCGTCTGTTTGCCCCGACTCTCACGGGTTTCGTGAAGTCGTCATTACAACGGTACTCGGCCTCAATACTGACTCTGTTATTGTCATTGTTTATAATTTTTTTGTCCACAACCACGCGTCGGAACAGAAACCCATCGAAGCGCTTCCGGACAACGTATACAACGTGGATCACAATAATCAGTGACGCTACATTTTCAAGATTACAGTCACGTGCAAGGTATATTAAGTATTAGGCTCTTACTCGCTTGTTCTCTCGTTACCGAGTCCCAGAGCAGTAGGTATACCCAATAGCCTGAAGGTCGCTCGGTATAGCTGTTGTTCAGCTCTTATCGGTATACGAACTCTGAAGTGTAAAAGGTTATTTACTAACGATGCCTAAAATCCATGTAGTATAATCTCAAGGAGCCTATATACGATGGGGCCGTGATTGAATTTAATCCGCGAAAGTAGGATGTGGACGATTTGCCGGATCGGCATTGCTGTGCTATATATGTGCTGCTGCCGGGTACACCACGCAGGTCGATCCCACGGGAAAAATCCCTCAAACCTCGACTCGGATCTTGCGCAGAAATCGGTACGTTCCTAATGTCGTCCATTCGAAAAAGAAAGCATCTCGGTATCCGATTACCGTTGTTGATTCCATCGAAGCCGATTTATTGCCGCGTTACATTCTCTCGTGAGCGCATGAAATGCACCTATACTTTAATTGCTCGACACGGCGTGTCGCGGCCGATAAGCCGCGATACTAATCGGCGTGTGTGTGTGTAACTACGAAACGGCACACTTTGGTCTCGGCGCTTGTGTGTTTTTACACTCTGCTTCTCGATAGCGACGAGGAAGTCGATCAACCTCGCGATTTCGCTGATGAGGTTGCGATTGTTATTTTTATACGCCTCGATTGTTCATTTTTGCTTCCTTTTTTTTTTCCCCCGCGCGCTCGTTAAGAGATTATTTCAAAATGCCCGACGTTGTTGTTCACGCGCGGCTTTATTTTAAAAGCGAGTATGTATGTGCAGTGTATACAGGCACGCGTGAAAAAATATGTCGGACGTTACCGATCTTTTCGACGCGCGCTCGTGCCAAAAATGCACGTATACATCGCATATTGTACGTGTACGATTTCAAACGTGATTTCGATAGAACGATACTCGCGCACGAAAATACACGACTCGTCGGAATCAAAAAGGTGATAGAATCAACGGTATTAATAATAATTACACACGTGTATGGTTTGACGCCGATAGATGGCGCGTCGCTTTATTTTAGATTCGGCCGCTAATGAGAAATGAATTTGGAATGGATTGGGGGAGGGGAGGATTAAATTTAAATCAGCGGTCATTCCGGGGCGTGATTTATTATCTTTCCCCCCCTTTGTCGTGCGCGCGATTACATGTTTATGAGAGAGTGATCGTCTTCTCGCGTCAACACCAGAGAGCGACGACGCGAATAAGTAATAAATACATCATGTATATTATAGGGTACACGTATAGGGTATATCGGCATAACTAGTTATACAAATGACGTACGCCAGTATATGAGTAAAGTGAAGTTTATTGTAAGGTAAATAAGAAGTACAAAATAATGAATACAAGAAAAAGGTGTTCGCATTTAAGCGTGTAAATGTTCAGCGTAGCTTAACGCGAGTGTTCGGTAGCTCGACCATTTAATCACTGACTGTGCGCTGAATCACACCTAGTGATACTTACGAGCGTATAGCTTATTCTAATACGTTACAACGTATACATACATCCGTACTGTAAACTCAAAAGCTGCTTCCTACCTCGAAAAAACACGGCAATTTGCATGAATATCACGCTCGATCGTTTTTACAAGTGTATACGCATTGTCACAG